AAAAGGGCCTTCGAATTTTGGAGCTAACGAAGATCCAACAACAGGTCTTAGAAGCAAGACCTGGTCCCCTGGTTGCAAAGTTCTAGTTACAGTTTTTTTATCAAATGCCCTTTTTATCTTCTGTTTTGCGTCTCGGAAGTGCTGTTGAGCAAAGAGATTAGCTTCTCTCAATCTAGATTTAAAGAAGTCCACATATAGTGGAATACTTGTCCCGGTTTGAGGAACGGGACACAAAAACTTTTCTTTCAGAGCCTTTGGGGCCCCCGAGGAGACTGACCAAACACGAGCTGGTGGGGACTGACTCCAGTAGACTCCTGAACGGCGTCTCTGGCGGCAAACAAAATAATTGGAAGTCCGTCTTCCCAGGATCGTCCGGTGGCGTGACAATATTTTCTCAGCATAGTTTTCAGGGTTTGATGCCACCTCTCAACAACTCCCTGGCTTTCAGGGTGATAACTGAAGGACTTCAAGTGCTGGATATGTAGTCTTAGTCACCTGAGCAAAAATGCACGAAGTAAAATTGGAGCCCTGATCAGACTGAATGGATCTAGGTAAACCAAACACAGAAAAGAAACCAGTCAGGGCTTTAATAACATTAGCTGTGGTGATGGAAGACAGTGGCACGGCTTCAGGAAAACGAGTAGCAGAACAAATGATGGCTAGGAGATATTTCTTTCCTGTTCAAGGGGGTGGAAGAGGTCCCACACAATCACAAACTATGTGCTCAAAAGGAGTTGTTATCACAGGAGTAGGATGTAAAGAGCAGGCCGTATGGTCTGGTTCGGGTTATCTACAGTTTGACACGTCGGGCAGCTTTTACAAAAGTCTGAGACTTCTTTCTTTAATCTTGGCCAAAAGAAATGGCGCAATATGGCGTTATACGTTTTATTTATGCCTAAATGGCCAGACCATTCACTCTCATGCGCCAACGATAAAATGTGGGAGCGGAACTTTTCAGGCACAACTATCTGTTTTATTTTTCCCCAATCAGCGCCTTCAGCAGAGGGCTAGGCCCAACATCAGAGCAGAACCTTGTTCTCTAGTTTATAAGCGGCTATGCTTTTTGAGGGCTTATCGTCACCCGCCGCGAGAGAAAAATAGGGCTGGAGAGTTTTATCTGCTTTCTGAGCTGCTAATGCATCGTAGCTTAATGGAAAGTTCACAGAAACCTGGGGTTTCATAAAAACAGCAGCATATGAAGCGGAGTTTTCATCGGACAGAAAAGGGTACAAAACAGAAACACGGAAGGTTATCTCTGGATCCTTTTTAGCTTGCGCTCAAGTTAACACACAGGCAGGGAAAGGGCTAGCACTAGCATGAACTTCTGGCTCCACTATGAGCTCAGGCAGAGGCACGACTAAGCCTCCAGCAGCGTCATTCCCTAAAATTAAGTCAACTCCTTTAGTTGGGAGTTCCTCCAACACCCCAACCACAAAATCACCCGAGACTAAAGGACAGGACAGTTTAATAGAGTGCATTTCAGCAGAGATAGCTCTCAATACCTTGAAAAAACACTGAGTAGCCTGCTTGGCTGCTTTCAGAAAAGGACAACACGCTTCTCATTATTAAAGTTTGCGAAGCTCCCGTATGTCTCAAAATGACTACTTTGGTTTTGGTTTCAGAACCCAGAAGAGACACATGACCCTCTGATAGAAATGGCTGATAGCAGGGGTTTGGCTTTTCTGAGTTAGCTTCCAAACAACAAGCTATTTCTGTTCTATTCTTATTTAGAGAATTTCCGGATCTACGGTTCTACAGTTTTAATGCGTAGCAGTCACGGATAACATGACCGCGTTTATGGCAATAGAAACACTCAGGATTCTCAGGATTAGGATTAGGAGATGGTTTAACACTGGGTCTGATTCCTCTGTTTGGTTTGGAACAAATCTCTCGGACGCGGTGAGTTAGAGAGAATCCGTCGGCCATTAAAGCAGCCTCGGAGAAGGAAGTAACCTTCTGTTCATTTAAATAGTGAACCAGTCTCTCAGGAAGATGTCGTTTGAACTCCTCTATCAAAATTAGCTCTTTCAGTTCGGCTAGCGAGGAGATATGAGAAGCAGCACACCATTTCTCAAACAACACTGATTTTGAGTGGGCATACTCAACATAAGACTGGTTTAACTGAGGTTTTTCAAATCTAAACCGTTGCCTGTAGGCTTCAGGAACAAGTTCGTAGGCCGTGAGCACAGAGGATTTCACCTTGTCATAATTAGCGCCATCTGTTGGAGACAGAGCGGATACCACTTGAAGGGCCTTACTTTTTAACTTGCAAGTCAAGAGCAGAGACCAAATCTCGCGAGGCCACTGGAGCATCGCAGCGATCTGCTCAAAACCTAGGAAGTAGCCGTCCACTTCCGTCTCCTGGAACTGGGGCAGCAGCGTGATGCATTTGCTGACGTCGAAAGGTGGGGTCTGCAACGGTGAACTGGCGGGAGCCACTGGATCTGGCCGAACTCCCGCCTGGGAAGCGTCCGAGCCATCGAGCTCCTGAGAGGAAGTCCAAGCGGCAACAGGAACGGGCTTCGTGTTCCGTAGCTTGAGATTGAGAATTTTAAGCTGGGTTTCGGCGTCCAGTCTTTTCAAGTCCAACTCGTGTCGTAACTTCCGTTCTAGAGCGCGTTCATCCGCCTCGATGCGGAGGCGAGCGAGCCGGAGCTTTAGGCGAGTTCTAGTGGGTGGAGAAGTAGGAGGACTCTGACCTGGTGATGGTGAGCCTGAGGAGGACTCTTCCGGTTGTCTGATTTTATCCTCTTCCTCCGCAGTCACCGGTGGAGACGAAGGGCGTGGGCCAGTCTCGGAAGGAGGTGGAAGGATCTCCTGTGCCTCCAAATATTCCAACACAAACTTCCGTAGAGCGTCTTTTGTCAGCTGTTTCGGGACAATCAGGCTGAAGTGGGCGGCTACCTCCTGTAGGTCGGCTTTTCTACAGCTCTCCAGCAGCCGGCGCGAAGGAGCCTCCACAAAAGCCTGCAAGTTAAAGGATGCCATGGTGGTGTCTGCTCCATCTCCAAGAGAGGAAAACAAGGTAAGTCCTGAAAACAACACAGAATTGAATGTAAACCTGGGGTATAAATGTATAAAAAGGACAAAAAAGTCCCGGACGAGCCCCCACACCTTTTACGATCCCCAGCACGACTAGGAGATGATGTTGGTTAGAGGGCGTAAAGAAAAGGGGTTGTGAATAGGAATAAACCAAGATTCACTCTCTTAAAGGAGTTTATTTAACTAAAAGGGTCACTGTTTCATGCAGTAAAAGGATAAAAGGTCACAAACACATAAAGACATCCAAAACTGGGGTTTCCTAAATTAATGATAATAGTAAACACAAAGCGCCGGGGTTTACACCGGGTAAGGAAAAGAGCAAGATTAACACAAAAAACTCCACCAAAAGGGGTGAGCTAGATCTCTTTAACGAGAATGCCAAATAAACACAAACGAGCTCTAGAGACTAGGAAGAGTTTATCTATACCACACAGGTAGCCAAAGTGAGCCTGTAACGTCTGGTCGAGGAGGGAAAAAGGAGAGCAAACTCTACTGCGCCTGTTCTCTTCTGAACTAACCCCCCCCCCCCCATCACCTGGCTTTCTTTTAACAAGGAGCATCCCTGATTTGGATCAGCTACACCTGGCTCAGCTAGAGCCAGGAGCGCAGGTAGTGATGCTGAGGCCACCCAGTGGCCACAAACAGACGGCGTCTGTTACATGCAGCAGTGTCAATCTTCCTGGCTGGATGAGTGAATTTCTTCATCAGAGTCAATATTCTGCTTCATAATCAGAGTCAGTCATTACCAGACAAAGTGATCAGTCAACAAAGACCAGACCTGCCGGCAATTATGCGTTTTATCTAATATTTGCGCTCTTCATGTTGCGCACATCTCCTCCTCTTCCCGACTGGGAGCCTCACGGCGGGAGGCGTTTTTCAAACTCTAAAAACTCCAAAACTTTGCTCAGCCTGACGGTTCCACATCTCCACTATCTTCTGATGTAAAGTAGTAACTTCATGAGGGATCATATTTGTAGATAAGACTTGTTAAAGTCAGCAATGAGGCTTTGGCGCTTTTAACAAGTAAGTCCCAACACTGACAACAATGTACTGAAACTAGAACCAACATGTGTAAACAGACAGATCGGTCCCGCCTACTTACACTGTTGGTCTTTTTTAAATACGCAGTAATTGTTGCTTGCCTTTTTTGCTTTATCCTGCATCCAGCAGCAACCACTTTAGTGCCTCTGGAGTCTGTGTTTGTTTACGTCATGCTGCATTCAACGTAATTGGGAAAAGGAGCTTCAAGCGCTTAACCTTCGATTTTGTTTTCTTTCTGGCCTTAGTTGCGGGGGACGGATCGGGGTCGATCTGAATCTAGGGGGGGACAAATCCCCCCGCCCCCACCCTATCTGCGTGCCTGTCTGAGCCTATGAGGTTGCTGAATCTGTGCTAACACTACAGCGCTAATACAACACCGCAAATCTCAACAGTTGTTTAAAGAACTGAAGCCATTTAATAAGAGTGACCAAGAAGTTACTTCTTGTATCAATAAAAAGCCATAACATGCTTTTTTTTTTTACTCTGATATTGGTTAAAGTCAGCTATAGCTATTATGCTAACAATGCTAACTGTGATTTTGAAGCGAATGGAGAGACATCTCCAAGGCGGATAGCTTTGGTAGGAAAGGAAGTTGTCCATAACAATATACATATAAATGACCACAGTTGGAAGACAAAGACTATAATTTAAAACATTTGAGTTCAGTTTCATGGAGACAGTCAGCATTGCTTAGTAAGTGTGATGAAGAAGAAGAAGAAGAAGAAATTATAATTTCTATAGCGCCTCTCAAGATAAAAATCACGAGGCGCTTCACAAAAACAAAAACAAAAACAAAAAATATAAAAATTGTAAAAATATAAAAAAGCATTTCGAAAATGTTTAAAAATATATTTAAAATGAGCAAGAATAAGCAATTGCGATTTTAAAGATAAAATGTTAAGAAAGAGAGTGAGTGAATTGGAAAGAGGGAAATCATGGATCCTGAGGAAGGTGGAATAGGTGGGGAGAGCAGAATAAAGAGAGAGTGATGAAGGAGGTCATACTGCTACCTTTACATTTTTAATAGCATGGCCACCAAAAGACACAATTTGAAGAAGACATATCTCAAAAGTGGATTGAAGCTAATTCTATGAATGTTAGAACTTTGAGGAAATCACTGTTTGTAGTGATACGTTTGATAAAATACCACCATTACTTTACTTCCTGAGAATTTGAATGAAAAAAAAAGTGTAAAACTACTTCAAAAGATAGTAAAGATTAAGAGTTTTCCTAATTTCTGAAGCAATATCTTGTCACATTAAGACTTAACTGTTTTCACTTTATTCCCTTTGTTTTCCTTTCTGCGTAAATCAATCTGACATACATGAGATGAGGCAGGGCCGCCCACATCCAATCACATCACACCTTTTACAGGATCACTCTCTATAATAACCATGTGTTGCTCCCAGTTCAGAGAAATTTCCAAACAGTATGAGTCTCCTCTTTTCACTCATGCTTTACTCTGTCCATGTCCTCTTTTCAACACAATCACCAGTTTCCAGCTTCATGCCTCGAGCTACTTCCGCGGCTGAAGGGTGCACTCTGAGAAACAGCTTTGAGCCAGGCTTTGTGGCCAGTGGGGACTTTGTTCTTGGAGGGATTTTTCCTCTTCATTATAACCAGGAAATGCCTGACCTTAACTGCACCTATAAACCACCACCAGTCAAGTGCAATGGGTGAGCTGAAGAGGGATTTTGACATATTTTTGCAACTTATCAATGTAAGACTTTGCAGTAGCTCTCTTTTGCAGCTTTGTGTTGTTTTTCAGGAAAATCCATTTAATTACGTGAACACTATTTATGTCAAGAGGTGATGAGATTTTCAATTCTGCTTTGGGAGCATGGAAACAGGATTTACAAAAATGTACATAGTTTTATAATATGTGTTATTTATATATATATATCTACTCATCATCAATGACAAAATAAAATGAATTTTCAGAAATGTAATGAAGTTATAGTGAAAGGATGTCTGTCTCTAATTATGTACAGTTTGCTCACCTATGCTTTAGATTTGATCCCAGGGCTTTCCGCTGGGCTCAGACTATGAGGTTGGCAGTGGATGAGATAAACCAGAGCCCAGAACTGTTGCCCAATCACACTCTGGGATATAAAATCTTCGATTCCTGTGCGTATCCTCTGACTGGCCAGAGAGCTGCTCTGGCTGTACTGAATGGGCCAAATGAGGAGGATTCTCCCATGTGCAGTGTGTCTTCTCCGCTCCTTTCCATAATTGGAGAATCAGGCTCTGCTCAGTCCATTGTTGTTTCAAGAATCCTTCAGCCTTTCAGAATCCCAATGGTAAATGTCCTTTTAGCTTACTAATCTGCACCAACATATGCCACTCTGAATCAGCTCTCTTTTTTTCCTTCTGAACACAGATCAGCTACTTTTCATCATGCGCCTGTTTAACTGACAGAAATAATTATCCCACATTTTTCCGAGTAATTCCTAACGATGATTATCAGGTAAGTGTAACAGGTTTGATATGTCAGGAAGTTGTCAGAAAATAAACAACACTAATGTTCCTCAATTTGCAGTATCTCAAGGCTGCCGACGTCTCTTTTAGTCTCTGCTATGAAATCTAAATGGTTGGCTCTCCTTTTTCTGTAAAGGTAAAAGCTATTGCTCAGCTGCTGGTGCACTTCAAGTGGAACTGGATAGGACTCATTCGAGGGGACCATGAATACGGTCGATTTGCAGTGCAAGGTTTACTGAGAGAATTACAGGGTAGCAGTGTATGCGTGGCCTACCAAGAAATGATTCCCCTGCTCTACAATTCCAAAAAGGCATTGGAGATCATGCAGGTAGGTTTTTTGTTTTGACATTGGTTTCATTTTTATGCTATAGGTTTGTATTTTCTGTCAGGTTTGGTTTATTTTTATTTTTTTATTACAGGTGGTAGACTTGATCCTATCAAACACAATGAATGTAATGTGGCCACAGGGACTATGAGACATGTACTTAACTGCATGTTGTGGATGCAGTAAGCAATAAATGCATATTGTAAGTTCATGAAGTTAGTGTGTCTACGTTTGAAAAGAGTTTAGAAACATTAGCTCATGAAGAAACTAATAGTTTTATTTTCACACTAAGGGATGAGCATATTTGTGAGTATAAGTGCACATTCCTCAAATTTACACAAAGCAGCTTGCAAACACTTCATTCAATCTTTGTTTATCCAAATGAGTCGATTAACAACTCATTCTCATTTACAACGGAGATCTGGCCAAGAGGCAGCAGCAAGACACATAGTTAGTTTTTATATCAAAGAAAAACAGGTAAGATAAAAATAAGATACAACAGTTAGACATAAGACAAAGGACTGTTCTCATATCTAATATGCACAAGCAGTCAAAACAGACCTAAAACAATCTAAGTACTCAGAAACAGGCACATTGATCAGAAACTATTGATTGCAATGACTTGTTGAAGGTAGATAATGGAATGTAGGTAGTGAGCTTCAGTGGTTTTTGCAGCTCATTCCAGTCGTTGGAAGCAGCAAACTGGAATGAGGAGCGGCCAAAAGAGGTGCGAGCTTTAGGGATAACTACAGAGATTACGTTACTGGAACGTAAACTGCGCTAGTTTTTGGAAGTGATGCGTAATGAGCAAAGATAAGACCGTGTTCTACTGATTGTTTTGTATGTGAACTGATACCAATGTAACAACCTGCGGGAATGGAGTGATGGCCAGTTAACGAGTGAGTTAAAATATTGTTCCTATTATCTTCTTGTAAAAGAAAGATTTGACTGAATAACTGACACTTGGATGATGTAAATATAATTTTAAATAATGTTTTCAATGAGTAAAAATTACCATCCGGCTCAAGATGATGAGTCACCATGTTTGAAATCTGTAAATTTAATTTGGAAGTACTCAAAAAAACTCACAACAGCTAAAAGTGAAGTAAATGTGTCAATATCATCTAGTGAAATGATTTTGGGCGATGGTGGCACAGGTGTTAAGTGCTCGCCCCGTGATCGGAAGGTTGCAAGTTCGAGCCCCGCTCAGTCATTGTCATTGTGTCCTTGGGACACAATGACAATGACAATGACAATAAGACACAATGACATTGACACAATGACAATGACAAGACACTTAGCTCACGTTGCCTGCTGGTGGTGGTCGGAGGGACCGGTGGCGCCAGTGCTCGGCAGCCTCGCCTCTGTCAGTGCGCCCCAGGGCAGCTGTGGCTACATCGTAGCTCATCCTCACCAGTGTGTGAATGTGTGTGTGAATGGGTGAATGACTGATTGTGTTGTGAAGTGCCTTGGGGGGTTCCAGGACTCTAGAAGGCACTATATCAAACACTGGCCATTTACCATTATCTTAACATTGTGGATTTTACTTGTAATATCTGGTACAAATGGTGTGTGTGTGTGTGTGTGTGTGTGGTAACTTAACTAATTGTCATAATGAACTGATAAGTAGGTACAATTGGGATGTTTACTTAGTGAAGTGCCTTGAGACAACTCTAGTTGTGATTTGGTGCTATATAAATTAACTGAATTGTTTTTGTTTCTCTGCAAATGTTTCTTTGTTTTATGTATTTCCACAAAGGTGATGCAAAGCTCTTCAGCAAAAGTAGTGGTGGTATTTTCAGCTGAAGGAGAAATGACACCATTCTTGAAAGACTACATGACACAGAACATCACTGGAATCCAGTGGGTGGCAAGTGAGGCCTGGATTACAGCATCTGTCTTTACAAAAAGTGGATTTTACCCGTACCTGGGTGGTACCATTGGGTTTGGAATAAAAAAAGGTTATATTGCCCAACTTGGCGACTACCTCCTGACAGTCAACCCTCAAAAATATCCCAATAACACTCTAGTGCAGGAGCTGTGGGAAGCTCTCTACGGCTGCAATCCCTTTCCATCGTCTTCTTCCCAGTTTGCACCCTGCTCGAGGAAAGAAGCGCTGTTGGAGCAGCATTCTGCCTACATGAACACATCCAGCCCTAGGGTGGCCTATAATGTCTACAAGGCTGTTTATGCTATTGCTAATTCACTTCACAACCTTCTTCTTTGCCAACCAGGCAATGGGCCTTTTGAGAACAACTCGTGTGCTCAAAGCGACAAAATACTCCCCTGGCAGGTAAAATCCAGTAGCCATTATTTTATGGTATTGCACCTCAAATCTTTAATTTGAGTACTTCATAATATGATTTTATTCTTTGCCTCTATTCCACTATTAAAGCTCCAGCATTACATCCAGGATGTAAAATTCAAAATTGCTGGGGAGATGGTAAACTTTGACTTGCAGGGTGACTCCGTACCATACTATGATATAATCAACTGGCAGAGAGGTACAAGTGGCAACATTGAGTTTGTCAACGTGGGGTTGTTCGATGGAACTAAACCCGCTGGAGAGGAGCTGGTGATCCAGGAGGACAGAATAATGTGGGCAGGTCATCGGAGTGAGGCAAGCTGCTCACACTGTGTTTTTACCTTCATCAGATGCCAACTGATGAAGTTCTGTAGGTTAAGGTGGAGGTAAGTAAGGTAGGTAGGGCAGGAAGGATCTCGTAAGCCTTTTTGCATTGATAATGAAGAATATAACTTCAATCAGGGTATACAGGATAGCCCAACAGTAATTATTAATACGTTTCCACATAAAGACAAACTGAATTTAATGAACATACAGACAATTTTGTTAAGAGGATAAAAAGGCCTTGCTAAATTTTACAGGAACTCCTTATTTGATGCATTGTACAAAACATGAAGAGTATAATTACCGTCTAATGTTTGGGTATGCCAGTAGTGACCCTGAAATCATGATAAGCCCTTTACTCAAATGTAATACATTTGCTGTGGTCTAAAGTAGGAATTAATGCCTTGAAAGTCACACTCTGGGGAAAAATGTTCCAGCGCACCTGTTTCAGCATGGAGATTTCAGCCAGAGGAGAAAGTAGCTTCAGGCGGTGGGATTTGGAGTCTTACTACCTGATATGTCACCTCTGATTGGTTAACAGCAATACGACTGTACCGCTGACTCCATTTGCTTTGCAATGTTGATGTTTTAACTCTACAAGGGGGCAGCAGTAGCTCAGGAATGTAGTTACACTGTAGTGTAAAGCACTTTGGAGTCCTGACTCTGAAAGGCACTATACAAGTGCGGGTCATTTATCAAATAACACAAGCCTAAAGGAGTTCTGCCATATTGTGGGATTGATAATGCTAACAGTTAGCTTCTGCAAGTCAAGACGTTCTCTAAAACAACAGTCCTCCCTGTCGCGAGTCAAGATGAGTGAGTCCATGAATGTTAAGGGACAGTGTGATGTAGATCTGTCAGGCTTTTCAAATCCTAGCATTTCACCATCTATTTTCCATCAGAAGCTAATGCAGGAGATAGGGGAAGGACATCATTTTGATGTTCAGCCTGTTTAAAAACTCAGATAATTAAAAAAATACTAAAAATAATAAGTAGAAAATGGTTTGTCAGTGAAGGACCTCTTAAAGTCATTTAAAAAGGGGTGTAAAAGTAACTGCAACTAATGTATATACATATATATATATATATTTATCATCGACGAGACACAATCGTTTCCTAGTTCATATCTAAAACATGTCAAAGTTGTGTCATATGGGCATGTTTAATTTGTGGAGCTGCAACTAAATGAAGACACAGAAAATGATTGTTTCTTCATCAGATGGATGTCACCTTATGTCTTTACACAGGTGCCAGTGTCTTTATGCAGTCCCAGCTGTCCTCCAGGGTCCAGGAAAGCTGTCCGTCGTGGGGAGCCTGTCTGCTGCTTTGACTGTTTACTATGTGACAGCGGCAAAATCAGTAATCAGACAAGTAAGACTAAAGCTGGGCATACACTGTGCAATGTTTTCACTTTTTTGAGACGATTTTCCACTCGTACAAGAATCCACGAGATCGGGGTGAGTTTTGCGCCGAGCGTCGTGTAGTATACATGGGTTACGAGAGGCGATTAATAACATGTTACCAGCAACTAAATGAAGTTGCAATCGTGAGCTCGCACAAACTTCTGGCGTGTTTAATATTTTGCTTGTCCCTCGTGAGGGTATCGCACTGTTGAAGCGGTGCTGCGACCCAAAAAGTTTCAGAACCGCTCACGGCGCATGCGCAATCCTGCATCAACACCGCTCGCCCGCTATTTCCCTAGTAACACACATTGTTCGTTTTTATTTCTACACGTTTTTTTACTCACAAAGATTGTCAAGAAAGTGTGTTTGTCGTGTTCATGTCAAATTAAACTGATCACAAAACACAGATTTACTTTCTTTATTTAGTTTTCCTCATCCAACCCCCATAAATCCCTGTGTGTCCTCCTGCAGCACTCCCGAAGGACAACAGGCAAGACAAGACGAAAAAGTCTGACGTGTTGTGTAAAACCTGCTATTTTTAGCATATTTTTAGGGCCGACGTGTTGCTACCAGACGTACAGTGTGAGCAGTCAGATCGTATCCGAGAACTGGGTCGTACAGTGTGAGCACATGACTCGTGAGATCTGCCCTGCAAGGAAGTCGTACAGTTAGAGCTGAAGCTGAGTGCTACGAGTGAAACGGTCGCACAGTGTCCGCCCAGCTTCATTATCCCTACACCTAAAATCCACATCATAATTGAATAGTATTTTGACACTGACATTGTTTTATTTTCTCTTGCTGGCTTTCTGCCCAACAGACTCCATAGAATGTCAGTTTTGTCCTGAGAACTTCTGGTCAAACCACGACAGAACTGCCTGCATTCCCAAGCAGGTGGAGTTCCTGACCTATGACTCCTTGGGTATTTCCCTGACTGTGATCTCTGTCATGGGCGCCTGCCTCACTATAGGCGTTTTTGCCGTGTTCTTTCACCACAGGAACACGGCAGTTGTCCGTGTGAATAATTCAGAACTGAGCTTCTTTATACTGTTTGCCTTGACTATGTGTTTCCTGTGTTCGCTTGTTTTTGTTGGCGAGCCAACATCTTGGTCCTGTATGCTCCGTCACACCGCCTTCAGCATCACATTTTCACTTTGCATCTCCTGCATTCTCGGAAAGACTCTGGTGGTACTGGCCGCCTTCACAGCCACCAGGCCAGGGGACAATATCATGAAGTGGTTCGGACCCAAGCAGCAGCGAGCTATAATCTTTAACTGCACTCTGGTTCAGGTTGTCATCTGTGCAGCCTGGCTCATCGATGCTCCCCCTTATCCGTCTCGAAACACTAAATATGAACGTTCAAAGATTATACTTGAGTGCAGTGTTGGATCTAGCCTTGCATTTTGGTTGGTTTTAGCATACATTGGACTGCAGGCTTGTCTTTGCTTTATTCTTGCGTTTCTGGCTCGTAAGTTGCCTGGCAACTTCAACGAGGCTAAGTTTATCACTTTTAGCATGTTGATCTTTAGTGCTGTGTGGCTAGCCTTTATCCCTGCTTACATAAGTTCTCCTGGAAAATATGCAGATGCAGTGGAGTCATTTGCCATTTTGGCTTCCAGCTTTGGATTGTTGTTCTGTTTGTTTGCACCAAAGTGTTACATTATATTACTCAAACCTGAAAAAAATACTAAACAGCACCTACTGGGAAAAGAAAAGAAGTAATACTTGTCATTCATTCATCGTACAACATTTTTATTTAATGTTTGTTTTGTGTGTGTTTCTGCTTGCCAATAATACAATAAATATGGGTGGTTACTAAATTATTGTCAATTCACTGTAATTTCTAAACATGTAGAAGTTTAGTAGAAAATGTTCCCACTTAGTCGAAAGCCTCCTTTCTACCGGACATAAACATGTTGTGAAACAGCTTCAAAATATACTTTTGGACACGTACACGAAGCAAAGGGATGCAATTATTACATTTTGAGTCTATTTTTTATGAGTTATGCTTCCAAAACATGTCAAACTCTGCAGTTTATTAAACTTGCACTGCAAGACGAGTTCTCGCGAGATTTGGAGTTTTCCAAACTCAGGAGAATCCACCTTGTACCGCTCCAGTTCAAACCGTCCGACCTCCAGTCCAAAATAGAGTGATCCAATCGTGCGTCAGCACTGTGCTGTAGGGTGGGAGTTAGTTTTGAAGATAGTATTAAGCCCCCGGCTAAGCAAAACAAATATGGCCGTGCCGGTTGACGCTCGTGTAGAAGTGGCTATTGATTCACATGTAGAGGAATTAAAACACCCTTTACGCGCATATTTTTCAAGCAAAAACCAGCAGACATCACCTGAAGACATTACATGATTGACAAGTGAGTGAATGAATGAAGCTTGAGCAAGTTGGTGTTTTCCAGACGCACTTGGTGTACGTCATTTGAGTTGTTACTGTGATTGGCTAAAGACAAAATATGGGAGCCAGTGCCAGCTGGGCACTACCTTGCGTGTCCTCCAATCAGCTCAAAATATTCTACCAGATAGCCCTCGCTATTTCAGACGGTTTCTGCTGCAGAGATTCCAGATCCAAATTTGTAGAATCGACACGGGGCGGGGCTTCACATAAAGATCTGGATGCTGCCAGGTTAGCAGTTTATATCAGGATAGACAGGAAGTCAAACATGACAAACTGTTCAGAAACTTTCAAAATAAAAGTCACTTGCAGATAAAAGGATGTCATTTCCAGTGAAACTCACGTAGCCGATGTAAACAGAACAGAAAATAAACAGCTGATCTTTTTGGATACATGCAGCTGTCTTTCTCCTTGCTTGTTATTGTGTGGACTTCTGAAATCAAGTGGTGTTGCTATTCTTCTGTGATTTTGTGACTTTGCGAGACCAGAGGCGTGGAATGCTTTTGCTCCCATTCTGCATCTGAAACACTCACGGTTGGAGGGAGCTTGTGGGTAAAACGCTGCTGTTAAGTTACACGCTGTTTTCAGTTTGTTACAAAATTTGAGAAAGTATTTGATGATTTTAAAATTAAAAATGTAAGAAAAAAACTATTTATGAGACCCACACCATTATTGGATTTTTATTTTTTTATTTAATGCAAATTAATTGTTACAAATGCCTAAAAAAAACAACAATCATTTCAAATGCAAGATGTGTAGCAGTCAAAACATTCACCAAATGTCGAAATGAGGTAATTCTGACTAAGTAAATGTTTATTTTTGGTCCATGTAATGGGATAACTCATAACTCTAAACTACAACTGTGTCCATGGCCAGACTTCAAGGAGTAAACTGCCCACCAAGTTACAGCCTCTCTGAGATTTATAAGTATCATTGGTGAAAGAAAAGCTTGTATGTGTACAGGGTTAATTTACATGTTATTTAATGAACCATGAGACATGAGATTCCTTAGGAAATATGAAATCAATCTGATGGACCTTTGGGTACTTTTAACCAGAAGATTGGAACTTTTTATTGCAGGGATTATGTAACACTTTGCATTGACTGAGAGACAACAGAGGAGAGAGTCAAGTTTTAAAAGTTTAAAGATTTATTACTAAACAAAGTAAAACTAGACTAACTTTAACACTAAATGTATGGTGTAACTAAGGTGAATAAGATGGAGAATGGTGTAGTGTGGAATATTGTTCAGAACCAGCAAATCCGAAGAAACGATTAGTTCTGATGGGAGTGAAGGTGATGTCTTCGCGCTAAGCTTTGATTCGGAGATTCACAAACATAAGACGCCATCTTGTTGTTCCACATATACCCTTAGAATGAGACCTCCGTACAGATCCAGACTGCCAGGTCCTCGAACCCCTCTTTCGGCACCGGAGCCGATGAAACAGTGTCAGCAGTACGACAGACTAGTCTTTGGATTGTCTCCGGGTAAAAAGCGACAGTTGGTTGACAGCGTCAGATGGACCCGGAGGGTCAATGAGTTCAGCTTTTATTCTGAAAGGAACCGTTGCAGCAGTTTGAACAGCAACAGATTTTATCCATCTTGTTGTTGGTTCTTTTCGGCTGAAGAGGAAAGTTACGGATTGGCCTCTCCGACAACTTCTCTAGAAAGCTTTGAACTGGCGTTAAAGATGACGTGGGCATAGTTTTATACTTCGGATGTTTTGATTTACGGTCGAATGAAAAGATGACAGATTTACCAAGCACCACCAAAACCACGCCTCCGTCCGATCTGGCGGATTCTGACTGGATCAGTAAAAGCAATGTGTCATGTCTTGATGCTACGTGAGATCAGTCCAAGTGGAAACATTTAAAGTCATATGACTTATTATATTCTATAGGATTATAATAAAGTAATTAATATTTTCATTTCACAAATTGGTTCACATTTAATTATTGACTAAAACTTTGTTTGATTAGCTTATTAAAATATTTGAGTTCTTTGATTTATTAAAAAGAAAGAGTCCTTTGTCTTCATTCTTCTCTTGTGCTGGAAAGGGAAACAGTTTAGGAGCAGATGCATGAGACCTTGAGGCAATATCTCATGCAGATTAGTTCTTGCTGAGGAGAGGGGGGAAATGACTTTTAGATGGAAAACAGTCATTTCATTCCGTTACATATGTAAAACAATCGTAACTGCAGTTTTACATAATAAATGGATACAAATATTAAACCTTTCATCCTAAACAAAAAAAGCAATATTCCAACAAAATCATCAAATAAATCCACGTACAGGTGCAACCAAAGTGGTACAAACATTCATGAGAATAAAGACAGTTTTAAGGTGAAAGCAGAGTTAATTTCAGAGAGGATCTGTGAAAGCAAAACTAATAAACTATTGCGCAATGTTTACATTTTGCCTTCCAAACTTAATTCTTTTGAACATTTTCAGTTTAAAAGATTGTATTTTTGTGTGCCCGTGACATTTCACCGGTTATGTTTTCCAGTCAGGCCCTTTTTAATGTTCCTCTCAGGGTGCAATAAGATTATGTAACATTTAGGCACAAAAATACACAACAAGAGACCAAAACTGGAGGCTAATATTGCAAATATTTCCACAGCTACTGAAAACTTTCCAGGAGAGCTAATATAAGCTGGAATGAAAGAGATCCACACAGCCATAAAAATCAGCATGCTAAAGGTGATTAATTTTGCCTCATTGAAAGTATCTGGTAGCTTCCGTCCAAGAAACGCCAGCAAGAGGCAGACGAAGGAAATCAGCCCGATGTAGCCAAGAACCAGGTAGAATCCAACAGGCCATGGCTCCTTGCACTCTACAAAAATCTAATTAGGCCAATAAACACAATAATGGAGGTTGTTTGTTACATATATCATGCTAAGATGGATGATGAAGCTTCTGTCTTTCTTGGTTCTCTTACTTTTCCATTTGAGGATTGGAATGTTGGATTCCTGAATGGGAATGGATGAGCCCCCGTCAGCCAACCTGTGCAGAGACAGATCTGAAGGCAACAAAAGTTCATTATGAATTTCAAAAAGCGGAAATCAGTCAAACATTGTAGAAATGTACAGTTGCATTGTCCTTCCACCTGAGGAACTGTTGTACAGAAGATCATAATTCTCTGCTGAGATGGACCAAACATCCTCAGACCCTTGGGGTCAGGTACATTAGCCCGAAAAGCCAAAAGAACCACAATAGTTTTGACTAATAGGCAGGACAGACAGACAACAAAGCTGATCCCAAAAGCCGCCTGGCGAAGCATACATGTCCACACAGACGGTTGGCCAATGAACACCAGGGAACACAGGAAACAGAGTTTGAGTGACAGAAGAAGCAAGAAGCTGATCTCTGAGTTGTTGGCCTTGACGATGGGTGTTGTCCGGAAATGGTGAAAGACGATGGTGATGATGATTGTCAGGATGACACCCAGCAGAGAGAGAGCCACTAAGATGATACCCATGGTCTCATTGTAAGACAAGAATTCTTCTACGCCTGCAACACATTTCACCTTGTCTTCGTCTGACCAGTAGAACTCTGGACATTTGATACACTCAGTCGAACCTTTGGAGACAATTTTTAAAACCTGTTTTATTGGACATTTAGAAACTCAGCCTTGATATCTATTCAAAATAGTGAAAACAATTCATCTACTGTAGAAGTTAGTGGGACAAAACAATGGATACCAGTCTGGTTGCTGATCTCTCCATCTGCACAAGGTAAACAATCAAAGCAACAGAGAGGCTCTCCTGGACGTGCGGCCTGTCTGCTGCCAGAAGGACATGGAACACTACACTGGGATGTAGGGACCTGGACAATTACCAAAACATTTGTTGAAATCAGTCAATACTGTCTAGGTTTTGGTCATTTTTAGTGAACATATAAAATATTGAATGGAAACTTAAAAGAGGTAGAGGGAAAACTTGCCGCACCTGTGACTCGCCCCTTGTCCATATGATGTTGCTCTGGTTTATTAGCAGTTGTAGTTCCAGTGGAGCTGAACCATCATAAGTTCCCACTTTGACAAATCTGTGCAAATGTACAACAAAATAAACTGTAGTTTTGTCCACTAGAATAGTGCCCTGTAAAGTGATTCAAGAGCATGATAACTCAGCTAAGTAGCCAAGAGACTGGCTGGTCCTGGTAATCTCTACTTTTGCGGTGATCTCTTGATGACCTGGCGCTCTTGAGCCTAAATGTTTTACACATGAATGAATACACACAAGTTACACTGCAAAGTTTGGTCAAACAGAGCTGGCAGCATGGTATACTCCAGCATGGCAACCATTTATGCCTATATACAAATAAATGGCCTGTTTTTGATAATGCTCCCTCTAGGGTTCTATAACAATCCAAGGAGCTTTACACCTCCCCCTCTCCCATCAGCATGAGATGGGGTACCTGCAGTCTAGGCCTGTCTCTGGCATGGTTGCCTCACATAATCAATGGTTTAGGCCATGGTATAGAGCTCCGGACGTCACATGACTCTCAGAGCGTAGGCACCATGCTGGCAGGCATCAATGTGGGACCGGCTTAGATTTTACTCCGTCAGAGTTTACTTCATATTTAAAAACTGAAAATAGAGTTTTATGTACTCAGAAATTAAATAGACTAAGCATCTCTGACCCTTACCATGCCCTGAGATTCATTTTTTACCGGATTTGAGACACCCTGACATTTACAATTTCCTTATTAATTTTCCCTCGTCCTACTCCGCAGCATTGCTAGGAGCTTACAAAAGCCAGGAGGGATACAGATGGACTCAATCAGGGTTATGTAAACAGCAGAATGCAGAAATCACAAATGATTAAGAAAAGTTTTACATGATGTTCACTTATTGCTATGAGCAGCAAGACAGAAAAAGTCAAGCCAGAATAAGTTTAGGAAGATCACTAAGAATCGTAATAAAAGCATTTAAAACAAATACCATATACAGTTGAGAAAACGTTGTACCTGATATGAAGTGGTCACTGCGCAAGCAAAAACCTTTGCTCCCCAGATCCCATGCTTTCATTTTAGCCTGGTCACTAGCGCATTTTTTTGCAATGATCCAACATTTGCGGCGTTCCGGATTTTGGGAATTTCGGCTCTTCCCTTATCTCATCCATGTCTGATATAGCATCCTGGGGCAAAACAGGTATCTACATATTTCCCGATTTTAGTTTGGGTTTTCTGCAAATAACAATAGCCTAACTGCGGGCAACTGCCTGCCTAGATGGCGCAATTCGATTTGAACAGGAGAAGTGACGTCAACTCCCGGAGCTCTATTCAGTTCCGGGCCTCAAGGGTTAGTATCCAGCATGTTTTAGTTTTAACCCTGCTTCAACACACCTGATTTCAATCAGCAGGTGATTAACAGGCTTCTGCAAAGCTTGATGAGCTGCCGTATAGGTGATTGAATCACTGAAACTAATGTGTTGGATCAGGGAAACCACTAAAACATCATGGATACCGACCTTCCAGGTCCAGAATTGAATAGCCCTGGTTTAGACAGTGCAACCCCAAGCCAACTACAACAATATCTAAAGATAATGAAATGTCTGGTGAACCTTTCCCACTTTTTGACTAAATGTTGAATACTCCTGCAACCGTTTGACACAAGTCATGTTGTCGATGTTTCTACAACTTCTATCTGCTTCCTTTTGTAGACATGGAATCTTCGGGCCAATTGATCCATTTACATTGGGCAGTTACTTTTCTGGGTGCATTGTGATGTCAGTGAGTATAGACTGCTACAAAATACATGTAATACTGAACCTGATGTCACCATTGCTGTCCTTCTGCCAGTTAATGATGCCATAGAGTGGGACTGGCTCTCCATTAGAGTCAAAATGTACTCTCTCCAGAAACTGGTTGGTAAAATTCACAGACCTTAGATGATGTAATAACTGTAAAAATTAATAAAAAATAAATAAATAACTGCCTAAAAAACTAAAAAGACAAGTCAAATAGATTTTCCTTCAATAAATGATATACCTACCTGTTTAGAGGTGATCTGTCTATGTTTGTCACATGTTCTGTTGTAAGATCCTGCTGAATCACAATGCAGTAAAGCATGCAGAGCATGTGCAATCGCAAAAACAGCTTTATACACATTATACGATATTCTGACCTGTGACACGTCTGTATAACTGCTAGAAGTTAGACTCAGATCTTCTGACCCTGTACACACAGGTCTGATGTTATCCACATTCTCATGTTTATCTCCTTCAAACTTTAGCTTACAACCAAACTGCTCTTGCCAAAACATGTTTATAATTTCCATCCCTGGTTTGGGAGAAGGTTGAACATTCAGAAGAAACTCTTTCAATCCAGGTATCCGGACTCCAGGGAAAGAAAAGCCAAGGGTTCCTTCTAAAAGATGGTGGAAGTGTGGTTGGGTAAGAAGTTTCGCAGTTACCCAGGCCTCACTAGCTACCCACTGGATCCCTGTTACATTTTGTTGAGCAAGCTGGAAAGGTGTGGTAGAAGATGTGTAAAGGTTAAAAATTACAAGTCTTACATAATGCAGTACATCACATTCTTATTTTCATTTATACTGTACTCTGTAAATTAGCTGAAAGACGTACTTCTAAAAAGAGATTCAGCAGTTGACCCTCTGTAGCAAAAGCCACAACGACCTGTGTGGTGGAACTCTTTAGTCTATTTGTAATCTCTTGTATCTCAGCTGTTGTGGGTGATGCTGGAATAGTGAGACGATATTCCACACAACCACCTTTTAATCCAAACTGATCAGAGAATGCTTGGATCCCATAGCGACTGTAATCATCCTAGAAGAAAGAGTAATTTTGTAGTTCACAAATGTGTGTTTAAGTATTAAATCAGGTAAAAAGAGAGCGTAATCTCACTGTGGTTCCGATTGTGCCCACCCAGAACCAGCCAAAGAATGTAACCAGCTGTACGAGACCTTTGACTTGAAAAAAGTCACTCGGCACAGTTCTCAGGAATGATGGGTATATTTGCTTGTCACTAAGACACGTGCAAGTTGCAAAGTAACTCACCTAGTATGAGAGAGAGAGTGTCATTGAAATGATCAAAATAAAGTCACATTGGCTTAAAACTAAAATGTAATTAATTAAAGACAAAACAAAAGTTTCAACATCGTTCTTTTTTCTGTCTCTCCCTTACCAGCGGGATGTTAAATGAGCCAAGAGTTTGAGCTACAGCTCGTGATGGAGAAGAAGATGCAAGACCAATAATAGCAGGAATGGGAGAATCAGACACACATGTAGAAGATCCAAGCTGCGTTGACACAATCGTAGAGAAACTGACTAAAGAGAAAAAAGCCTGCAAGCTAGTGTGGATGCTGTCACAGCTGTCCATGATCCGGTAGCCTAATTTAATCCCCGGTAACAGATCAGACTTGTTGTTAATTTCCTCCACAGCAAACGCCATAGTCATCATCCATCGAAACGCCCTGTGATCAAACCTGCACAGTTAAAGGTGAACATTCGTTTTGAGCATAATAGCACATGTACACAAAACAACTTATCTAAATGAGTTGAACTGTGGAAGGAGTTCAAATAATAAAAAACGTAGTTATCTTTACTCTCACCCACTGCAAGCTGTGTTTTGGGGTTTGCTGTGGTAGCTCTGTTGTAGCTCAGGAGCCAAAAAGTGCAGAGGAAAAAGCCCTCCAATAACAACATCACCTTCTTGCTCCAAAGCCAAAGATTTGAATCCTTTAAGTTGCACGCACTGAGATAAACAGAAATCATCAATATTAACTTCTTTGACCAAATCTTCCAGTCTACTACTTGTGGAATTTAGTTCTTTCCTAACCTCTTTCTGCACACTCCAACCATTTCTTTCTTCAGCCAATTGGTCAAAACCAAACAAGACATTAAAGAGAAGTGGAAATATAACGCTAAAATGTACCGAAAGACAAAACCCGAACAGGGTTGGCTGTTTTACCCACACTGACTCCATAGACTTTGGAACTGATGGGTTTCTAACGAAGCTTCTGACAGGCTAATGAGTTCATCTGGTTTTAAAAAAAAGATATTTGCTTCCTTCCACTGGTGATGTGAATCATCACAAGAGCATCCAATCACAACCTAAAGGATGTGTGGGATCTCGCATTAATGAAGGAAACCATAAACAAGAGTGTTAACAGAACATTATTTAGACAATACTAGTTTGTGCTAGATTGAATGTTGTTGCGTGTATTTCTCCATTTACAAGTTGCTTTTTAATCCTCTACCTTTCATTCTTTTAAACTTGTAATTGTAAAGTTTTTCCTTCACTACATTTCTCTTTAGATTTACCTTTTCTATTATCTGCTTTCATTTCATGTTCAAGCAGACACCAAACTAGCTGTTTTGCTGTAACAAGCATTAGATTATGGTGACACTTTACAATAAGGGTCTATCCTCATTACTTAGTGCTTTATTAAGAATTCATAAACTATTAAATAATGTATTCACAACTGCTTAATACTAATGTTAATATAAAGTAATGAGTTATTAAGCAGACCCCCTCCCCGACCTTTTGTCCTAACCTTAAGGACAATATATAATTAACAAAATCAAATGTTATTAAAGGATTCCATTGTTTATCAGTGCTTAATAATGCACTAAATGACATTAATAAAGGCACCCTTTTTGTAAAGTGTTACCAAGATATTTTAAAATTTTGTAACAAAATCCTAAATTTTTAAAGACGAAAAACATTCAAAATGTAAATGAAAACCTAAACTGTGCTAAACAGCAATAGTGACTTAAGTTACACTTAATATTTGTTAATAAGGGAGATTTGTGTTTTAGTCAAACTCACATGCGCAGAAATTACAATCACTTAAAACTTTTGTCTTTATTTGTTTTTCACAATACATTAACAAACACATTTTGTTTCTTAAGTATTTACATGTATAGATGGTAGGTGGATCTATTATATTTTCCAGTCATGCCTTTTTTAATGTTCCTCTCAGGATGTAATAAAATAATGTAACATTTGGGCACAAAAATACACAACAAGAGACCAAAACTGGAGGCTAATATTGCAAATATTTCCACAGCTACTGAGAACTTCCCAGGAGAGCTAACATAAGCTGGAATGAAAGAGATCCACACGGCAATAAAAATCAGCATGCTGAAGGTGATGAATTTGGCTTCGTTGAAAGTATCTGGCAGCTTCCGACCGAGGAACGCCAGCAGGAGGCAGACGAAGGCAAGTAGGCCGATGTAGCCGAGGACGAGGTAAAAACCAGGAGGCCATGGCTCCTTACACTCCAAGACAATCTAAATTAGTCCAACAGCACAATAATAAAGATGTTGTTGTATGCAAATACTGTTTAAACACAACCTAAACATCTTGCTGTACTCACTCTTCCTTTTAGGGCTTGATATGTTGGATTCCTGAAGGGGAAAGGCGGAGCACCCCATAGCCAGCCCGTACAGAGGCAAATCTGAGAAGAAGAAACAAACTTTGTTTTCAAATAACAGTAAATAATTAAAAACAGTTTAAACTGATTTAAAATGCGAACAACACATTGTTTTTCAACCTGAGGAGCTGTTGTACAGAAGATCAAGGTTCTCTGCTGAGATGGACCAAACATCCTCAGACTCTTGGGGCCAGGTACATTAGCCCGGAAAGCCAAAAGTACCACGATCGTCTTGACTAGAAGACACGACAGACAGATGACAAAACTGATCCCAAACGCTGCCTGGCGAAACATACATGTCCACGCAGACGGTTGGCCAACGAACACCAGGGAACACAGGAAACAGAGCTTGAGGGACAGGAGCAGCAGGAAACTTATCTCAGAGTTGTTGGCCTTGACGATGGGTGTGGTCCGAAAATGGTGAAAGATGGCAGTGATGATGATTGTCAGGATAACACCCAGCAGAGTGAGGGTAACTAAGATGATGCCCATGGTCTCAGTGAAAGACAAGAATTCTTCAACCCCTGCAACACACTTGACTTTATCTGGGTCTGACCAGAAGAACTCTGGACATTTGATGCACTCAGTCGAACCTTTGGAGACAGGAAAGTGATTAACAGACACTGATAAATTCCACCCTGCACATTCACACTTTGGATTGCCTGTTTGCTTCTTATTTAATGGATAAATTGTTCAAGTAATTAAAAAGCCAGTGTTACCAGTCTGGTTGCTGATCTCTCCATCTGCACAAGGTAAGCAATCAAAGCAGCAGAGAGGCTCTCCTGGACGTGTGGCCTGTCTGCTGCCAGGAGGACACGGAGCACTACACTGGGATGTAGGGACCTGGACAATCAGTCAAAAAACTGTAAGAAAATTATTCAAGAAGTAGTCTCTTTTTTTTAACTTGACAGAAAAAGGTTTTAAAAAAAAGAAAGCTGCTCCACCTGTGACTTTCCTTTTGTCCACAGAATGTGGCTCTGATTTATCTCCAGTTGCTTTCCCAGTGAAGCTGATCCATCATAACTCCCAACTTTGGCAAAACTGTTAACAAGTCAATGAAAAGAAAAAATCAGATTCATATTTTTTAACTTGCAGCAATGAACTGTGGGTCCATGACCTTTACATGTCCAGAAACATACGATGTCCTATTATCTTTAGAAATAGTCTCCTAAAGCACAGGAGGCTCTGCCAGACTCCTTCAATTCAACTGGTTAAAATGTTTAAGAAAGGGCATCTGGCGACAGAGCGACCATCTTTCTTTAGGAGGAAGGCTTTTAGCGCTTCTACTTGTTGTGGTTTAAAAGACATGTTTGAGACATTTAGACCAGAGGAAAGAGCTGTAGCGAACTCTGCTTCAGTCTTCGTTGTCTATGAGAAACTCAGCATTGCGGCGTGTGACGTACGCTGCTCAGCTCTGATAGGCTTGGTATGAATTCTCAGGGGTGGGGTTATTTGAATAGAAGAGTTCCCAGCTGGTCAGGCTAGGGGAAAGCGCCAAACCGGAAACGCTGTCAAACTGAACCGCGCATATCCGAGTCGCTCCGAGAAGTGATGTTGGAAAAAACCCCTCCTGAACCAGTTTCTAAAATGGTACTGAAAGTCCCAACTGTCCACTTCACTATTTCAAAAACCTCTTTTCACACCCCACAGATGTAAAGAATGGATTGAGATGGAATGGGGATGAATGGAGGTGGATTCCACCCTCTACATCTACCCTAATAGCCCATCTCACATTTCCCACACCCTACACCTAATACCATACCATACCACCTTTATTTATATAGCACTTTAAAAACACAGCCATACGGCCGACCAAAGTGCTGAACAGTCGCACAATAACAGAGATAAAAACATAAAACATAAAATACAGTCAACACATAAGAAACAAGCCAATAACAAAGTACCGATAAAAACCTTACAATGGATGATAAAATAAGAGTAGTAAAAACCAAAATAACAGCTAACTGTTAAAAGCAAGGGTAAAATAGTGTGTCTTTAGTCTAGACTTAAAAACTGCCAGTCGAACTGCGGCTGGAAGTTCGTTCCACATTTTAGGACCGGCAACAGAGAAAGCTCTTTGTCCGCATGATTTTTAACACGCTTTCGGGACCTCGAGGAGCAACAGGCTGGAGGACCTGAGTGTGCGACCGGGAGTATAAATTGAAAGAAGATCAGATGAGTACACAGGGGCAAGACCATGGAGGGATTTGAAGACAAAAAGCAATATTTTATATTGGACCCTGAAAGTGATGGGCAGCCAATGAAGGGATTTTAGAACTGGAGTTATGTGCTGGCGCCTGTCAGTATGTGTGAGGAATCTAGCCGCTGCGTTTTGGATGAGTTGAAGTCTGGCAAGGGTTGACTTATTGACACCTAGCAATATTGCTTTCGAAAAGTCGAGCCTAGATGGGATAAAAGCATGAACAACTGATGTTTTTTGGTTGTCCCAAGGACTGTTTCATGACACATGTTAGTACACAAACTCCCTTGAATAATCTAGTTGGATTTGTTAAAGCCCGTGCTACACTGCGTTTTCTGGCCATCCTAGAAAAACCCCTTGTGAGGTAATTTGCAAGTCTTTGACTGTCCACTGTGACCGGCACAGCAGCGGTTATTGAGAGATCTCATGGTTCCAACAATAACACTTTTTTTTCTCTCTTTCTGGGTATCCGTCAGCTTTCAGTCGGCTTTTTGGCGAGTATGCTCGTGGCGTCGGCGTGTCCTGCTAGAGCGAGAGGTCGTGCTGTTTAGCTTATTGAAATCTTGGACTGTACAGTGGGCTACCTCTAGTGTCCTCACACTGTGTCATGAAACAGTCCTTGGGACAACCAAAAATACACAGTGTGACTCATGCTTTAAGCCACTTGTTCAGACTTAGATGAAGTTCCTTCAGGTGTGCAGAGAGATGAGCTGAGGCATTTCCAGTCCAAGAAAACAGCAGGACCAGACATGGAGAGCGCCATGGACGTAATTTTGGGGGGGAACAGGGGGGACATGTCCCCCCCACTTTTTCCAAAGTCCAGGTTTGACCCCTGCACTTTTTACCATCCAAAACGAATATTACTTTATATTAAATTGACACTAGTTGAGCTCTAGGACCAAGCAGAAAACAACCGTTTGTGTTGAAGCCTGTTTCCCATTAGAGCATACTGTAAAGATCCCCCCCCCCCCCCCCCCCCCCCGTGTCCCCCCCACTTCTAAAGTGAAAATTACGTCCATGGAGAGCGCAGTATAAAATAGTGTACATCGGACACTGATCAGCAGCACAGAATCTCTGCAGGGGACTGTTCTTTTGCTGTCCTATTTATTTTGTCCATCTCTTAATATATTGTTGTTGCTGCAATAAGTCACTTTAGCACAAACTGAATTTGCATTAGTTTGACGCTAGAATGGTAGTTATTCTGACTGATTTGCATGTTTAATGACTTTATCAAATAAAAATTTAAAGCTTTGCAAGTCCCTGATTTTTTTCTAAAGCAGTGTGAACTTTCATTAACAATGGATTTCATGTTTATTGTGCTAAAGACAGTCAGAATGTCATCGTTTCTACCTGTTTTGCTCAGAGGCAGTCATTTGGACTGTCAGAGATTTTATTGCTGAGACTGGCAGCCTTCACAGTCAAAGAGCATCTGCAGCATTTGATTGGTCTTCTCTTCCTCTAAATTTATTTTTGTCTTCTAAAACTAAAATAAAAAGGAAGTTAGATAATTGCAGAGGTGTAAAGAAAATGTGACTGTAACACTGATAACATGGACAGTTACGATTGTGAAACTATCTGTAAGGGTTTCATTTTTGATTGGAAAAAAATATTTAGCTGATTAAATGAAATAATCATTGAAATCATCAAAGTACGAGTTAATTTATTGACTTTTTCAGTCAAAGTAACTGCTCATGGCTGTTTTAGTGTTAAGTTGTGTTGTGTTTTGTGTGTGTGTGTGTGTGTGTGTGTGTGTGTGTGTGTGTGTGTGTGTGCGTGCGTGCGTGCGTGCGTGCGTGCGTGTGTGTGTGTTAGTTGTTGAGCTTCTGCTCAGTTTTTGAATTTCACTCTGGTACCAGTAAAGTATCTGTGTATCCATACTTGTGTCTTTCTGTCTGTCTTTCACACTCGTGTTACAATGAGCCACGTGTGTGACAGTTGAACATAAACAACCTGATTCCCCCCTCGCTGTTCTTCTGCCAGTTGATGATGTCGTAGAGAGGGGCCGGCTCTCCATTTGAATTAAAATAGACTCTCTCCTCAAACTGATTGGTGAAATTTACTTTCTTCAATTCATACAACAGCTGTTTAAAAAGAACAAAACATTTGTTAGAAACAAACTAAAAAACAACCGAAACCAACATAGTTGATTTTTCAGTTCCACATGTTTTACGTACACGTTTGGAGGTGAACGGCGACTGTGTGTCACATGTCCCCTTGTTCGGTCCTTCGGTTTTACAGTCCAGTAAGGCATGCAGAGCATGGGCGATGGCAAACACAGCTTTATACACATTGTAGAATATGCTGACCTGAGATAAATCTGTGTAACTGCTGGAGGTGAGACTCAGATCTTCTGACCCTGTACACACAGGCCTGCTGTCATCCAAGGTATCGGTCCCAACATCTTTCAGAACTCCTCTGTCAAACTGGATCTTACACCCAAACTGCTCTTCCCAGAACATGTTTATGAGTTCCATCCCTGGTTTGGGAGATGGCCGGACATTCAGCAGGAATTCTTCTAACCCGGGTATCTTGATCCCAGGGAAGGAGAAGCCCAGTGTTCCCTCTAAAAGATGGTGGAAGTGAGGCGAGGTCAGAAAACTAGCAGTTACCCAGGCTTCACTAGCAATCCACTGAAGCCCTGTTACATTTTGCTGAGCAAGCTGGAAATGGTTAAGAAAATATTTTAGCAACGATGTTCAGCAAAAGCATTTCAACAAGTCTCTCGTTTTAATATATATTGTCCAACATTATTAAATGCTGCAATAATTTATGAAATGATTTGAATCAACAGAGACGTACAAAGGAAAACAGCTCCAATAGTTGTCCTTCATTAGAAAACACCACAACAACCTGTGCAGTTGAACTCTGCACTATATCTGCCATTTTCTGGATGTCGGACGCTGCTGGTGACGGTGGGATAGTGAGATGATATTCCACACAGCCACCTTGTAATCTAAACTGATTAGAGAATTCTTGGATTCCATAGCGACTGTAGTCATCCTGGAACAAGGGAAGAGTTTGAAAAACATTTTTATTTGTTTACTGAAAAAACTGTTGGGTTTTAAACAGAGCTCGTTCTCACCGTGGTTCCGATTGCGCCCACCCAGAACCAGCCAAAGAACGTAACCAGCTGCACGAGACCTTCAACTTGAAAAAAGTCACTCGGCACAGTTCTCAGGAATGATGGGTATGTTTGCTCGTCATTGAGACAGGTACAGGTGGAAAAATAACTCACCTAAAACGGACATTGTCTGATGATTATTACACAACATTTTTAGTTTTATCACTCTGTTGTATAAATTTCAACAGGCAACACACGTATGAGGATTTTCACATCAACTGTTTTTTTTCTCTTACCAGCGGGGTGTTAAACGAGCCAAGAGTTTGAGCTGCAGCTCTCGACGGGGAAGAAGATGCGAGACCAATAATCGCAGGAATGGGAGAATCAGACAAACATGTGGGAGAGTCTAACTGGGTTGTTACAACTTCAGAGACACTGATTAAAGAGAAAAGTGCATTCAAGCCAGTGTGAATGCTGTCGCAGCAGTCCGTGATGCGATAGCCTAATTTAACACCTGGCAACAGATCAGACCTGCTGTTGATTTCCTCCACGGCAAACACCATGGTCATCATCCATCGAAAGGCTTTGTTGTCAAATCTGCAGACGACACACACACACACACACACACACACACACACACACACACACACACACACACACACAGCATAAAAGTTACATGAATGCATATAAACAGTTGATTCCTTTTCAAAGTAGAGTCCATAGAAACATATACATGTAAATCGTATGTAGCGCCTCTCAAGGTAAAAACAACGAGGCATTTCACAAGAACAAAAAAATAAAAAATAAAAAGGTAAGTAACAATTTTTAAAAATATTTAAAAAGTATCTTACAAAATGGGAAAAGCTAAAATTTTGAGTAAACTGAGGATCGATCACTCACCCACTGCAAGCTGACATTTTGGGTTTGTTTCGGTAGCTGTGGTGTGACTTAGGAGCCACAAAGTGAAGAGGAAATAAACCTCCAATGACAACATCGCCGTCCAACTTCAAAGCCAGATGTGTGTCGTCTTTAAGTTTCACACACTGAAGTAAACTGGAATCAACACTTTGAACTTTATTTGTCTCCAAATACTCCAGTCTGCCTCTTATAGCTTCTGGCTTTCTCTCATCCTCTTTCCCTCCACTATAAATATTATTTTCTATTGTAGATTGTCCGAAACATGACAGTCCATAAAAGAGAAGACAAAATGAAACACAAAAATACAGAAACCCGAAACGGGCCGGCTGCTTTGCCCACACTGACTCCATGTGATTTTGGAAAGGGTTGCTTAAGAAAATATCTCACAGGCAAATAAAACTGATATATAAATATAAAAAAACTGTCATTGGTCCTTCCTTTTATTGGTCATAAAAACCACAGTAGCCAATCAAAACCAGACATAGTCACACGGGGGTGGGGGGGGTGGGGGTTCTACGACCTTTTGCTGTTCACACACGTAAGCATTTCAGGTGATTTGTTTACAAATCCGTGTCGCAGTCCACACCTGGTACCAACATGACTAGTTGTGAAATAATCTAAATACGTAATCCTCATTGTCCTGTGTCCTATGTCTCCCCAGTCCCTTCCATGTCTCTCCCAGTTTTCATTCTGTCCTTGGTATTCATCACCATCTACCCAGGATTTTTTTAATAGTCCCACTCTTCCCCAGTGCAGTTTAGTTTTCCATTGTGTTCTTTAATCTGTTTGGTTATAGTTTAGCTCTCCTCGTGTGTCGATGACCTTTGACCTCTGTGTTTCCTCAGCTGTTTCTTTTGGTTTAGTGCTTCTCCTGTTCTTTGAAGCAGAACTTTCAGGAAACTGTGGCTAAAAAGAAAGTTTTATGGCTGCCATAAAACCAACTTCTCTGGCCCCACTTTGTTTGCAAGGGTCAAATAAATAAGAAAAATGAAATGTATCCATTACATGCTCCTCACCTTTTTACCCGTTAAAGTATTCTATCACAACCTTACCTGGCTGCTTCCTGGATTTTCCTGCACTTGGGTCCTTACAACAACATCCACCAATTTATGACACACACACACACACACACACACACACACACACACACACACACACGCACGCACGCACGCACGCACGCACACACACACGCACGCACGCACGCACACACACACACACACACACACACTCTCTCTCTCACACACACACACACAAATAGAAGGACTGTATGTTTCTGCTAAAGGCCCTTGTAACGTCCACAACGGTCAATTTTCACATTCCCATTGATCAACAAAATAACCTTTCATCTACAGAAATAAATCCACTTTCTATCAAACCTATATGTAAGTAAGTAAGTAAGTAAGTAAGTAAAAGTTTATTTATATAGCGCCTTTCTGTTGGTCTCTCTTCCTTTAGACCAAGCACGGGTACGGAGTAGATGGAGTTAAACACCTTTTAAGTTGACAGAACGAGGAGACAAATGATCAGAAGTCCATTCACTGTTTCGCCGCTCATGAGGGGGAGAGCCTCTGCAGCAAGTCCCGCGACCTGCTCTTGCCAGATGCTTCGGACAGACTCTCGCCGTTCTACTGAAAACGGCTGATTTTTATTGAAGATTACAGGAATGTTACATACGCAGTTTGCCATGTACATACGTCAATGATCATGACAGGTGAAAATAACAGCCTTGTTAGCGGACAGTTTAATACATCAATAGAACATACATCCTTGAGATTACCAGGAACATCCTGATATATTCATGACAGGAGAAGATACATTCACTGGTACCGAGAGGCACTGAGTGGAGATGGAATGTGCACACTCCTTTCTCTTGTGCAGGAGAAGATACACGGCTATTAATCTTTGTGTGAAGGCCTTGAGTATCTGAGCGAGTTTCCATAGCATAGATAATAAAATGAGCTTATAAGGTAAATATATATATATATTGCCTTGTTAGGCAGGATCTAACATGTCACAAGAACTTGTAATTCTTAAGATAAGCAGAAACATCCTTGGTAACCTGGTACAAGAAGAGACTGCAATGTCTCACTCCCTTTTGGAGTTCCTGCAGCTGTTTTAAGAGCTTGTGCAGGAGAGAAACACAGAGAGACCTTTATATTATAACATGATCCCATAATGAAAAGAGTAGCATGTAAGAATGAATAATAAAAGAGCTTATATGAGAGTTACATATATTTTCAATCCCCCTTTTGAACTCTTTTAAGAGTTCAATAAAGATATAAGAAATCAAAACAATAACACCAAATTCCATCAAAAAGAATCCAATAAGCAAAGTTTTAAAATACCAATACATACAACCAATCAGATTACATTTACTCATCTTTCTAGCAGTAAACTAATACAAAAAACATGATCATACTTTCAACTGAACATGTTACAACATGTATGGATCGCATGCAACTCCATATGAGGGCGAAAAACCCTAATTATCATATGTTTATAGGGAAAATTCCCCCATGTCCCCCCATTTGTCATATCTCAATTTTGGGGCGAACGCCTGTTGGCATAGAGTGTGCATGCCTAGGACATCAATGATCAAAAGAAATAAAAACAACACAATCAAAAAACTCATAGAAATAAACAGTTTAAGGGATTGTTACAGAAATCACTCAATATTCTCACACTCTAACAACATCTTCTTCATCATGAGAGTCATCACTTTCATCAGAGGGTTCCCCTCCCAAATAGATTTTAGGATTGGCTAGTAACAAGGGCATCTGGATAATTGGGTCAGCAGGTGGAGGAGAGATGGCAGTGGTGATCAATATGTGCATTCAGAATTGAGTTTGGAAATGCAATGAGTGTAAACATATATCTAATACTAAACAGGTAAATGAATAATAATATAAAATGAGTAGTGGGTATAAAATATAATCCTTGTAAAATAAATGAGGGTGTTAAATAGAACCCTTGTAGAATGTTCATAGGGTGGTTACTTCTTCCCCCTGTTGAGGTCCTTTCACTGGCTCCAGGCAGCTGCAGGGGGTGATGATGTCAAGATTCTCGTCCTGCAGGATGTGGTGGCAGCTTGGCATGCTACTGTAGTCAGCTACTTCTCTTCCTGGTTTTTTGGATCCTTTCTCTGGTTAGGCAGATGTCAGCTGCTTCTCTTCCAGGTTAGGCTCCTCCCGTCCAGCCGGACAGCGTGTGACGTCCTCTCCGTGATCCTGTATGGCTCGGTCCACCTCGGTTCCGTCCACTTCCTTTTGGTGACTTTTAGCAGGACCCAGACGCCTGGCACCGAAGACGAAGCCTCTTCGTGTGTGTAGTTTTGGTCCAATGAAGGCTTTCTCGGCTTGTGCAGTCCTTGATCTCGGCAGATAGTTGGTAGGAAGATTCACACTCCGGCCGGACCAGAAGTTCCCCGAACCGATCGCCTAGGGATTAAAGGTTATGCACAAAAATGTCCTAGCTCTTACTGGCCCTAGCCTCTGATACCTTCAACATCAGACACATACAGTTACGAACAGCAAGCGCAATTAAAGGTACAGTGACATCACGACATGGACACACACAGACACACAAACACATACACATGCACATACACACACAGAGAGAGGGAGAGAGTAAGAATGTGTGTGGGAGAAAGAAATGAGTGGGATCCACTTTGCCACCAGCATCTCCACCTGTGTCACAGGGAAAAAATTACAAAGAAATTAAAACATAAAGCAAACAACAATAATTCAATGAGTATAAATGATCAAACTAAAATATACAACCATGCATGGGTTTTATAACAGTTCCGGCAACACTGGAGAGGAAGCCTTGTATAATGAATTCTTAAGATGTCCTTCATCAATTAGAGGTTATAGCCAAATTGTTTCAGGATCCTGAATTTGAATTGGTCAATTTACTCAGAATAGCCCAATGGCTTTGTTGATGTTTCTCAAGGCTCAGCCACGCCCATATAGATAAATAAACAAACAAACAAGACAAACACAGTCAAACACACGGTCCATACACGTCTCTGTGCCCTCACACACCAAGCAAATGTCAGACTGAAGCGAAAGTGTGAAAACACTTAACCTAACGCTAAATCAGTGGAAAGAAAAAAACAAGACCTAAAGCGTGTAATCAAATTAATCCAACAAAACTTCCCATAACTGCCGTTCTAAACTCATGTTGCGGTGTGATCTCTCCAATTAGAAATTAGGACAACCACTTTTACTATCAATTCAACCAAATAGTTTCAGGTTGTCCCTTACCTAAACTACTTGTCTTTCTTACCTTCTTTATTTTATTATTTTTTTAAGAACCTCACTTAGCACAAGAAATCCTAAGAATTAATTCACTACTTAAGGTTAATTCATAAATAACGAAACTGCAGTTACAGGTTTGTTTGTGCATAGTATTGGTAATCAGCAGTTTTTTTTTCCTTATCTCCTCATCTAGAAGTGTTTCTGTGCTACTCCTCCATCTATAACACAAGTTAGTATCATCCTTAAAGCATCTGAAATTAAGCTGCATTGCTAAATCAATAACGTGATTTGTGCTAAGAAATACTCCCCTATCCTCTTCCTTTTTCCAGTGGCGCTGAATGACAGATTTTAGATCAATTTAACGTTTTATCACTATTACGTTTCATTTAATTAATTTTGCTTTTTCTCTCTTATTTTTGTCTATTTATTTATTTATGTTATTTACTTATTTATCATGCCATCCTGTGATGATAATCTTAAAGACTTTTTAGCCAATTGTCGTCAAAAAGGCCATTTAAAAATATTATGTTAAAGATTTCACAAGATTAAAATGTGAACATAATTTTTATCGAATGAGGGGTACAATTATTCAATATTTTTGTGACATTATTTTCTACGTTAGAACTTACAGCTGATAGAAAAATATAGGATCAGCTAGGTTTGGCTAGATCTGTTGGGAAACTCAACGGAGCTGAAACAACACTGTTGTCTCGGATGAGATGTTCCATGAATCATTTAGTCAGCTGGATGCCAAATTATTCATTTAATGTTTATTTTTATGCAATGAATGGAATGGGATGGAACGTTACTATAAACTATCCGGAAATTTGCGCATGTTTGCTCGAAGGAGAGAACTGTTGAAGCCTAAAGCGTTCTCCTAGACTTATAAATAGACACCGTTTCCTTAACCAATGAAAATAAGTGATGACGCTGATGTATTCCGTTTTGAAAAGAAAATAAGGCTTTACTGCATGTCCGCTGCAGCTGAGAATCCTAGGACAATAAAGATTATATTGACGTCCAATGGTGAGTTGGGCTGAAATCCAGGTTACTAATCCTATTATTTATTTATTTATTGATATTATTATTATCTTTTTTTAGGCTAACTTTCTCAGTTAACTATGTTCTACAGTAGTTTAGTAAATTTTCCACAGTTCTGACATTTCATCAATTCAACTGGTTGTTGCCAAAAAGCCTTGTTCATTACCTGACTGCAGCAAGCACTCTTTTACTGGGTGTAACCATAGGAAACAGTCTCTTTTGAGCCTCTCTTTGTAAGTCCAGGATGACCACCGTCATTGATTAAAGTTCACATGTTAGCACACATGCTCCCCCTTTTGTACTTTGTTTCATCAGCAGCAGGGCAAATAAGTTTCTGCCTCTTTGTCCATCTTGTAGTGCTCCCCGTCTTGATGTTATAAGTCACAGTTTTTGGTGAGGGCTTCCAGGTTCTCTTTGTATAGAAGTCAGACCCAAACATTCTTTGCAGCTGGTTGTGACAGGCCCACCCAGTAAAGTTCATGCCCGCCACAATGCACAGCAAACGTTTTCCTTAAATATGTTGATTGAGTTGAAATGACAGAACTTTCTCTTTTACAAATCAAAATCAACGATGGTTTCTAATATTTAGTCGACTTTATTGACTCAAAAATAAATCTGAACTACTTCCTATGCACAATTTGTTCTGAATCATCAAATCAGTTCTACACAGGTTTTAAACATTAAGCACAATCTATCCCAAATGCAAGATCCCTCCTTTCATTTTTTATTTATCTATTTTATTTTGGGAAAATAACTACCAGTTTTTAACTCAAAACAGCCTAGTACAGTTTCTAGCCAGGTTACAGGAAATAATACTTAGTTTATCTGTTTTTTCATTATTCAGCGTCCCAAAATCCAGCCATTAACGTTAATGGTTCTTAAAGTTGAGGCAAGACAATTATTGGATTTTGTTTTATAGCAAGATTTAACAAATATTTTATTTCCTTACTGATTATTTGTTAATTTTATGGTTTTCATAAAGATGATCCTGAGAGGTTCAGAGCTGCTTTTCGCAGCACCCTGTGCTATTTTTAGACTGCGGAACTCCTGTGTGTAAAAGTGGGTGGAGTCAGGTCCCCAGGCTGAAACTCCAGTCATTCTCACTAGATCTGTCCGAGAGGAAGGATCTCCTGAATACCCTAACCAGAAGCCTTAAGGTACGTCCAAAACACCGAAAAATATCCTTTCTAAAGTCACAAATTGCTTAAAACTGCATGTTACACAGAAAAACTGTGAGAGCGAGGGAGTCCAGCTGACTCCACGGCCCATAATCAGACAAAATACTTCCTTTATAACCACGACCATACAACTTTTGTATTTTAAAGGATTTTCTTGTCCTCACACTAACGATAAATTCTTTTTCTATTGTTTCCACAGTCTCTCGAACTAAATAACCGTCTAGTAAAAACATGGACCGCACCCTGTTTCTCAAGCAGCTGCTCCCTCTATTAAAAACTGAATCATTCAGAAGATCCAGCGAAAGCAGCTCATGCAAGAAGACACACATTCACTCATTCACAAGGCACAGAGACATTCTTTGTTTGTCACAGTCTCTTTTTATTATTATTATTATTTTTTTAAGGTAAGTCAGTTCGTCACTTATTTATTCTCTCTCTATATATATATAATATTTTAAGCACAGAATTTATTTAACACTGCACTGGTTATTTTCAGAATTTAATGCTTACTATGCTTTTAAGCAGGCCTTATGTAACATTAGAGCAAATCCAATTGCAATTTTTTTGAGAGCGCTCTGAGGAATAGTTTATATATTTATTTTCTGCAGATCTGTTTTGATTTTACTGTTTAGCAGCTATATGACTATATTTCTAAAATAAAGCTGTCATTTACATCCTTACTTGCGTTTCTTGGTGGTTTTTTCCCTTTTTTCATCTCCAGGTCACTTAACCCCCAGATCGGGGTCACTCACATGCTGCCCCACACACAAATGATTATCACGCTTCTACACTACATATGTATATATATGTATACACATATACATACATACACACATACATATGCATATGTTACTTTAAAAACCTTTTATTTATTAACTTATGGTGTTCTGTTCAAAGACTGATCAGAACAGGGTTGCAGAATTTGAATTTTGCGTAGCTCCAAACATTAATTTTTAGCACTGCAGTGTAATTTACATATACGAGTTGCAACTTTTTAAAGCTCTTATTTATCTTATTTATTTATTTTCTGGTACCGCATCAGGCCTTCACACACACACCCAGCGCTGTACACTCACACGCACACACATGGAGCTCCCAAAACTCTGCTCTGCATTCTGCACTCTCCTAGTGCTGCACTTTCAATCCAGAGCCGTAAGCAGCCTCTTGCTGCGCCTCACACACACAGGCTGAACTCAGCTTACACACACAGTGAAGCTTGTCTACAGCTGTGCCTTTTTTCTCTCGATTCTGCAGCCTTCACTTCCCAAATCTTTCTCCAGTTACCTCTACTGTTAACATCTACCCCTTTTTTCTTCATCGCCTCTTCCGCTGACTTTCTCAATAAAACCTTATTTCTCGTGGCTTCAACTGGGCTGCTTGTCATATTTAAACATTGCTCATTTTATGCAAAAACAGCCAAAAGCACGCAGAAATAGCCAAAAGCACTGCTCTCTTCACACAGAAGCAGTCAAAACATTTATCATCTTATGCAAAAACAGTTACCTCAGAACATTTTTCTCATCTCATGCAAAAGGTCCTTGACCTTAAAAATCCAGGGAGCTCTCTTTAGCCTCCCCTTCCCTTAACACAAAACCAGGTCCTTGACCTTAAAATCCAGGGAGCTCTCTTTAGCCTCCCCTTCCCTTAACACAAAACCAGGTCCTTGACCTTAAAATCCAGGGAGCTCTCTTTAGCCTCCCCTTCCCTTAACATAAAACCAGGTCCTTGACCTGTGGACTTTTAGGGTTCCCACACCTATGGATCCAGCCAAGCATTATATAACCTCGTTATATATTCTATCCGCTCGTCAGCAAATAGTGTGGTCAGCCACGACCTGGAAATGGAACTTTAGGGCTATTCTATTAGCCCTGGGTCACCATCCCTTCATCTGTACTATTTCCTTTTCTCATTTACTCATTATACCATTAGAAAAATCCTCATTTCATTTCACCATTAAATCATTACAAAAAAAATCTCTTATTCTTTCTGCACTTGTCTCCACTTTCTTCTCCAACTATTATTTTAGGACCACAGCTACTGTGATTCTGGACACAAATGCTTTGGATAAATCCAATGAGCAGATTTTAGATAATAGGCTCTGCTTACCTTATTTCCACCGCGGTGTTTTTGTGCCAAGATCTGTTCGCTGGGTCAGTGGGTCGAATCGTCCTCCAAAAACTCCTTTTTCTTCAAAAAGAAAAAATCCTGTTCGTGACGCCAAATTTGTTGGTCTCTCTTCCTTTAGACCAAGCACGGGTACGGAGTAGATGGAGTTAAACACCTTTTAAGTTGACAGAACGAGGAGACAAATGATCAGAAGTCCATTCACTGTTTCGCCGCTCATGAGGGGGAGAGCCTCTGCAGCAAGTCCCGCGACCTGCTCTTGCCAGATGCTTCGGACAGACTCTCGCCGTTCTACTGAAAACGGCTGATTTTTATTGAAGATTACAGGAATGTTACATACGCAGTTTGCCATGTACATACGTCAATGATCATGACAGGTGAAAATAACAGCCTTGTTAGCGGACAGTTTAATACATCAATAGAACATACATCCTTGAGATTACCAGGAACATCCTGATATATTCATGACAGGAGAAGATACATTCACTGGTACCGAGAGGCACTGAGTGGAGATGGAATGTGCACACTCCTTTCTCTTGTGCAGGAGAAGATACACGGCTATTAATCTTTGTGTGAAGGCCTTGAGTATCTGAGCGAGTTTCCATAGCATAGATAATAAAATGAGCTTATAAGGTAAATATATATATATATTGCCTTGTTAGGCAGGATCTAACATGTCACAAGAACTTGTAATTCTTAAGATAAGCAGAAACATCCTTGGTAACCTGGTACAAGAAGAGACTGCAATGTCTCACTCCCTTTTGGAGTTCCTGCAGCTGTTTTAAGAGCTTGTGCAGGAGAGAAACACAGAGAGACCTTTATATTATAACATGATCCCATAATGAAAAGAGTAGCATGTAAGAATGAATAATAAAAGAGCTTATATGAGAGTTACATATATTTTCATTTCTCAGATATGAATCACAAAGCGCTGTACAACATGATAAAGATCAGGGCAAATACCTCTAACCAGAAACATCAGAAAAACAATAGCAGTGATAAACGTAGAAAATAAAATCATGAGTATAAACAAAGTGAAGGTGTGAACCCAAACAAAGCCATCATTCTGAAACATTTAGGGAGGGAACGCCTGGAGGAAAAGGTGAGTTTTTAGATGATTTTTAAAGACCTCTACAGTGTTAGAGAGACGGAGATTTGAAGGTAGACTGTTCCAAAGTCTGGGTGCAATAGTCTGAAAGGCCCTGTCCCCTTTGGTTTTCAGTCTGGTTCGAGGAACAGCCAGGAGGTTTTCAGATGTGGATCTAAGGTTCCGAGAGGTGGTGTGTGAGGATAAAAGCTCAGATAGGTAGCTTGGAGCCTGGTTGTTAAGAGCTCTATAGGTCAGGACTAAAACTTTAAACTGTATTCTATGTTCTACTGGGAGCCAGTGGAGGGACTGTAAAACTGGGGTGATGTGAGCTCGTCTGCTGGATATGTGAATGTACCACATAAGGAATCAGTGATTAGTATTGTAAAGTTGAATAAAAATTGAACTTAAAGCAGTTAAAATTATGTAAAAATATTGAAAAACCCCAAAGGATCTAAGAATTGAAAAATAAAAGAAAATGGAATTTGGATTAACACAACACTTAGCGGGATTACTCGCCTTTAACTGTTGTTGACTTAGTCATCACAGAACTTCAGGAACCCACAGCATGACCATCTCAAGTCACCCAAGTCTGCATGTTTAGACAGGAAATATATCCATGCACACACATACAAACACAAACAGAACTTGTGTAACCTGAAACAGAGAACTATGGGACAGAAACATCTAAACAAATGAAATCACCCGCCTTTGGAAGGTGACGATTGAATCGGAGGTACCGGATCGACCGGCGCAGGCGGAGGTCCCTGGTCAGTCGAACCATCACGGACTGGCACTGTTGGTACAAGAGCTCTAGATAGGCGGTTTCCCAAGCTGCAGACTGAGTCCCTTAAGGAGGCCAATCCTGCGGAGAAGTGACGGAACAGGACAAATGCCAACCCAAGACACAAATAACAGTTGAAGCATGCAGTGAAGAAAACGACAGAGTCAGAGGAGGACCAGGAGTAAGACACCAATTGAAAACTGAGACCAGAATCTGCCGACAACTCACAAAGCACCCTGTCTATCGCACCAACCTGAACCATGGTCGGACCATTGAACGTAAGGCGTTCCACTATAGCTGGATAAAGAGCAAAGGAGACATTATAATAAAAAGGAGAAAACTCCACAATGGATTTGTGCTCATCAGGATCTAAGTAATACAGTGAGACCTCACCTACATGGACCACAGTGCCACGCAGAACCGACAACCATAGGGTTTGGGACGGAAGCTCAACTTGAGTGGACACGCCACGTCGATCATGGAAAACGTCTGCTTCAAGGGCGGGGGTGTTAACCAACCAGTGCCGACCAACAACAACAGCCGTAGTTCGAACTACATGCGAAAGTGGAGTTACGGTCATAGGTGTAGCGTGATGAATTGCCCATTTCTGACCTAAAAGGCCCTGCTCTGTTTTGCTCTGCTCAAAGCAAAACCAGAAGATTTCCGACACAGAACTAATCTGCATGAGATATTGCTCAAGGTCTCATGCTCTGCCTCTAACTGTGTCTTCCTTTCCAGCTCAAGAGAAGAATGAAGTCAAATAACTATTTATTTTAATAAATCAGAAGAACTCTATTTTTAATAAAGCTAATCAAAGTGTTTGTCCAATAATAAAATGTGAACCAATCTGTGAAATGACAATGTTTATGATTAGTAGATTTTAATAAGTAATATAACTTTAAATATTTCTACTAGACATTCTCATCCACGTAATGTTAAGTCACATGACACATTTCCTTTTTCTGATCCATTCAGAACCTTCCAGATCTGACGCAGGCATGGTTTTGTTGGTGCTTGGTAAATATGTCCTTTTTTGATTCGACCGTAAATCAAAACATCCAAATTATAAAACTATGCCTATATGCCTACGTCTTCTTAAGTTCAGTTCAAAGCTTTCTAGAGAAGTTGTCGGAGTGGCCAATTCGTAACTTTCCTCTTCAGCCGAAAGAATCTAACAACAAGCTGGATAAAATCTGTTGCTGTTCCAACTGCTGCAACAGTTCCTTCCAGAATAAAAGCTGAATTATCACGACCCCTTATTGGGTCTCGCTAGATGCCAATAAAACTGTCGTGACCCGGAAGTATTTCAAGACTGGTCTGGTCGGCAACCACTGCTTTTCCTACCGGCTTCGGTTCTAGAGAAGGTCAAGCTGGACCTCGACATTCCTGATCTGATGGGGACTTCCGCAAACGGTACGTAGACGGACAGATGGTGTCTCAATGTGTGTTATAAATCTCCCAAACCAAGCTTAGTGTGAAACATCATCTTCACTCCCATCAGAACTAATCGTTTCTCCATATCTGCTGGTTCTGAACATATTCACACATACACCATCCTCAGTCTTACTTCACCTTAGTTACACCATACACCTAGTGTTAAAGTTAGTCTTGTGATATTTCATACTTCGTGATATTTCACATTTTATGGTTTCTAATTAAATGCAAGACCATCTTCTCTACATAGGACATTTAGAATCTCTAGACAACTCACCTATACCACACATCCGCGGCTTTGTCATGTAGAAAAGGGGTACCTGGACACAAGAAGTGAAGGCCACGAGTGAGGGAACACACACACAGATCTGGAACCAAAGGGATGTCCACCATTGTATCGCGTTCAGTCGTGCCCAGTTGCTTCAACGCATGCCATTGTTGCAGTACTTGTTTACGCAGCGATGGGTATTCTCTGTGAAGCTCATCAATGTGGTGTTGATCTTGACCGAGTTGACTGATGAGAACCCAAATTTCCAAAGTCAGCCAATTGTATTAGCCAATGAGAAGAACTCTTGCAGGAAACGCTTCACTCTAACGTGGGTACCTGAAAGATCATTATTTGAAACCGTGAGTTTAAGTGCCTGGAGTAATATGTGAGAGATGTCAGATTCAGAGTGCCACGCCATTGTGCGAGTCCAGTGGTCCCCGGTTTCCGAGAGGTTGCCAAAGGCACTCATCAGTTTCTGAGAACACTCCATTGCAGGGTCAAATTTAACAAAAATCTTTTTTGTGAACAGGCGGTAGTTAGTCATTAACAGGCCTGGTCGCTCTTGGAGCGTGACACCCGAAGAGGGCCCAGGTTTGTACAGTCGCGTCAGGGAGGCTGTGGAGGAAGCTTAGCCACCTTTGACATCAGACAGACACACGCAACTAGCGCATGATACTTTGTCAGCCCCGAAAACTGAAACCAAGAATGCTTTAGACTGTAGACTGGCACAGGCACGGCCTTACGAGGGTTCGGCGCAGATGTGCGCTCTGGAGGGCCCTCGGTCAATGTGCAGGTGCTGTCAGAGAGATCAGGGTCAGCCAGTAGTGGTATTGTGGTTTCGACGTCCGGTGACCCCACCAGTCTGACCGCAAACCTCTGGACCGCCGGGAGCCTCATTCATAAAACATCGTTGCTAAAACCCTATGGTGTTTCTGTCTCATCACCCGTCTCTTACACACCAACTTCATGCAATAAATGGACAATGCAAACATTATCAATATTGTGTATATAAATAAACATGCTTATGGATCGCATGTTTTGAGCAACCATGACAATAGAGATAGAAATCCAGGCTCTGAGGCATGACGTTTAGTTCCCACAAGTGGCGGCACGTTTCTGCAGCGGTGAGCTGTGGAGCCAGGGAGCGATCACAGCCAATAAAAAAATCATTAAAACGTGTAAAAATAAGTGGTCAGATGGAGCCTAAGATGGTAATATCATTGGAGCTATCCCAAGCCTTCGGGAACATTTAGTTAAAACATTTATTTTGCAAAGCAAATGAACTCAAGTTTTTTTTTTTGTATTTTCATTATCATTAATTATTGAACAAATATAACAATTATTTGCATTTAGAGAAGGCGCGCAGATTTCAAAGCAACTGTTAAATTTTGCAGTTGTGCGTTTTTTATTATTTTCTCAAATGTGCAAAAATGAAGGTCAAATGCAACTTTAATTCGTAAACATTCTTTTAATTTACCCAAAAAATGAAAAAAGGAATGCTTTTCAGGTTCCTTGAAGTATAAAAGACATTGATCGGTGTCAGGTCCATCTATTACATTTTCCAGTCATGCCTTTTTTAATGTTCCTCTCAGGATGTAATAAAATAATGTAACATTTGGGCACAAAAATGCACAACAAGAGACCAAAACTGGAGGCTAATATTGCAAATATTTCCACAGCTACTGAGAACTTCCCAGGAGAGCTAACATAAGCTGGAATGAAAGAGATCCACACAGCAATAAAAATCAGCATGCTGAAGGTGATGAATTTGGCTTCGTTGAAAGTATCTGGCAGCTTCCGACCGAGGAACGCCAGCAGGAGGCAGACGAAGGCTAGCAGGCCGATGTAGCCGAGGACGAGGTAGAAACCAGGAGGCCATGGCTCCTTACACTCCAAGACAATCTAAATGTGTGATTAAAACAAAATAATGGTGTTTTTTTAGTAAGTATTCTGACTGAATTTTACAACTGAGAATGGCCTTTCCAAATATTCTAGTATGTCTTTAATGTTATTTAATGTTGAATTAGTTTTTCTTACTTTTCCATTTAGGGCCTGGTATGTTGGATTCCTGAAGGGGAACGGAGGAGCCCCCAACAGCCAGCCTGAGCTCAGACACATCTGAGGCCAAAAAACATTATTTATAAAAAGTGGAAATAAAAAATTCCACTCTTGCATGGGCTTTCAAAATACAGTTAGAATGACTGTTACAAACTTCTTCTACCTGAGGAGCTGTTGTACCGACGATCAAAGTCCTTTGCTGAGATGGACCAAACATCCCTTGACCCTTGGTGCCAGGTACATTAGCCCGGAAAGCCAAAAGAACCACAATAGTCTTGACTAAAAGGCACGACAGACAGATGACAAAACTGATGCCAAACGCTGCCTGGCGAAACATACATGTCCATAGGGACGGTTGGCCAATGAACATCAACGAACACAGGAAACAGAGCTTGAGTGACAGGAGCAGCAAGAAACTTATGTCAGAGTTGTTGGCCTTGACGATGGGTGTGGTCCGAAAATGGTGAAAGATGGCAGTGATGATGATTGTCAGGATAACACCCAGCAGAGTGAGGGTAACTAAGATGATACCCATGGTCTCATTGAAAGACAAAAATTCTTCAACCCCTGCAACACATTTGACTTTATCTGGGTCTGACCAGAAGAACTCTGGACATTTGATGCACTCAGTCGAACCTTTGGAGACAATAAAATAGGTATGTGGTGAAAACTTGGAGAAAGTGTGTGAGGCTGACTTTTATATTACTTCTTATGGAAAGTAAATAAATAAATAAATAGGCATTGTTTACCAGTCTGGTTGCTGATCTCTCCATCTGCACAAGGTAAGCAATCAAAGCAGCAGAGAGGCTCTCCTGGACGTGTGGCCTGTCTGCTGCCAGGAGGACATGGAACACTACACTGGGATGTAGGGACCTGGACAAACAAAGGGGGTTGATAGTACATATCACATCTATGCTTTTCTATCAAACTTAATTTTTTTTTTTGAAAATTATAAAAGTGGCAAAAATCCCACTATCCCCACCTGTGAGTCTCCTCTAGTCCATTTAATGTTGCTCTGCTGAACCTGCAGCTGCTGTCCCTGTGGTGCTGAACCATCAAAACTTCCTACTTTAATAAATCTTTTAACAACGTGTCAAATAAACAAAAACATATTGTTATGCTGTTCTTTTCTTAAACTGCGATCAGTCAGCTCTTTACCAAACGTCTGATTTCACCTCATGTGACCCTGCGTGTCCTTCTGCCAGTTGATGATGTCATAGCGTGGGACTGGCTCTCCATTAGAGTCAAAATATATTTTCTCCCCAAACTGGCTTGTGAAATTCACATTCTTCAAATAATACAACAACTGTGTTAAAGAGGAAAAAAAAAACACAAATGGTGACAAAACGGTGAACTTTGAGTTTTCGTCAACAGCTTTTTTTACCTACCTGGTCTGGTGTGAACTGTCTCTGTTTGGCACATGTTCCTTTGTTAGGCCCTGCTGAGTCACAACTCAATAAAGCATGCAGAGCATGTGCAATGGTGAAAACTGCTTTATACACGTTGTAGGATATTCTGACCTTAGACACATCTGTATAACTGCTGGAGGCCAGACTCAGGTCTTCTGACCCTGTACATACAGGTCTGATGTTGTCCGGAGCATCAGTCTCAGTTTCTTTTAAATTGTCTCCTTCAAACTTGAGCTTACAGCCAAACTGTTCTTCCCAGAACATGTTAATCAGTTCCATCCCTGGTTTGGGAGATGGTCGAACATTCAGCAGGAATTCCTTCAACCCAGGTATCCACACTCCTGGGAAGGTGAATCCCAGTGTTCCCTCTAAAAGATGATGGAAGTGTGGTGTGGTCAGAAGAGTGGCTGCTACCCAGGATTCACTCGCTAGCCACTGGAGTCCTGTTACATTTCGTTGAGCAAGCTGGGAAAGTTGGGTGAATGCATTTAAAGGTTAAACGTTGGAAAATAAATCTCTGAAATCTGTTATTTTCTCAATTTGTAACATTGTTATTTTAAATACAATAGGTCTAATATAATCTGTACATTTACTGCAGTGCATACTTCTGAAAACAGCTCCAGTAGTTGTCCTTCATTAGAAAACACCACAACAACCTGTGCTGTTGACATCTGCACTGTATCTGCCATTTTCCGGATGTCGGCCGCTGTGGGCGATGGTGGGATAGTGAGATGATATTCCACACAACCACCCTGTAATTTAAACTGATTTGAGAATTCTTGGATTCCATAGCGACTGTAGTCATCCTGCGAGAGAGGAACATTTCGCATGAAACATTTCTGTTACTTATAAATGCTGGACATGAAAAAGGAGAAATCTTACTGTGATTCCAACTGTGCCCACCCAGAACCAGCCAAAGTATGTGACCAGCTGTACGAGACCTTTAACTTGAAAAAGATCACTCGGCACAGTTCTCAGGAATGATGGGTATATTTGCTTGTCAGTGAGACAAGTACAAGTAGCAAAATAGCTCACCTGAAGGAGAAATTACATTATTATTTACACTTGTTTATCTCTATTAATGTCATGATATAAAAACAAGTTATAATTGATGTTTTGTACATCACCTCGGTGTCCCTTTCTTACCAGTGGGATGTTGAACGAGCCAAGAGTTTGAGCCATAGCTCTTGTTGGAGAAGAGGATGCCAGACCAATAACAGCAGAAATGGGAGATTCAGACAAACATTTGAAAGATCCAAGTTGTGTTGACACAACTTCTGAGAAACTGACTAATGAGAAAAAAGCTTGCAAGCTGGTGTGGATGCTGTCACAGCTGTCCACGATACGATAACCTAACTTTATGCCTTGTAGCAGATCAGAGTTATTGTTTATTTCTTCCACAGCGAACGCCATGGTCATCATCCATCGGAAAGCTCGGGGGTCAAACCTGGGAAAAAAATTAATTTATATTTACAGCGCAGAAGTACTGTAAGTACAACAAAAAATGTGTACAAAGGACATTAATTTTCAATATGCAGACTACCAGATTGATGTTTAAATATACTGCATGTGATTCCACCTCTGTTCTCACCCACTGCAAGCAGCCATTTGGGGTTTGCTGTGGTAGCTCTGTTCTGGTTCTGGGGCCACATAGTGCAGAGGAAACATCCCTCCAATAACAACATCCCCTTCTAACTGCAAAGTTAGAGGCTCAGTATTTCCTAGGTTGACACAATGAGGTAAACTGGAATTCACAGCATTTACATCCTCTTTCCTCAACTCTTTCAGCGTGTCTCTTGTGGCATCTTCTTTCTCGCCATCTTCTTCTATTTTCAGAGCTTTTCTTTTTTCTGCAGCCTGACCAAAACCAGTCAGGAAATTAAAGTGAAGGCAAAACAAAACACAAAAATGCACCAATACACAAGACCCAAAAAACGTTGATAGTGTTGCCCATGCCGACCCCATGAGTCTTTGGAGCTGGTACTGCAACAAAGCCTCTGAAAGGCTAATAAGATAAACTGGTTTTAAAGCTGCTGTTGCTGCTTTGTCTTGCTGGTCATATGAGTTATCACAAGAACAACCAATCACAATATCTGCTCATCGTGTTAAAAAAAACTGAATGATGTGTGACATTACTTGTTTCAGAACTATAATAGGAAAAAAAACGATGTATATATTTAAGGAATAAACATTTTTGATCCAAATAAACAAAAAAACCCTATCATCCATCTGTATCTGTTGTAGAAAAAATAGAATAAAATAAGAATAAAAATCAAAAGGTTACAATGTGCAAAGGTCATTGTTTCACTTTAACACATTTTTTATTTTATTTCAAACACAAACTATTTTTTAAACTTAGAACAGAAAAAAGCACCTGAAAAGAAGTAGGCAGAATAAAAAAAGTATTACCATGATTTCTTTTCAACTATATACAGCAATCATTTTTCAGCTTTAAATCGATTCATTTCAGTTTATTTCTATATTTATATTAGTTGTCTCAAGACACTTCACTAAATAAAACATTCTAATCGAGTTCAGTTCAATATGCAAATTTGTTAAGTTTTCAATATAAGGAATTTTATAAGGACTTTACACTAATCCCTACACCAAGTAAGCATGTAGCAAAAGTGGGGTGGAAGACGTTTCTCCAACTCATCATTTTCAAAACAAAAGTTTCAATCTCTATATTTTTTGGGGGGGGGGGGGGGGGGGGGGTGTCTTTGAAGACCACAACAGGTAGATTAAGTAAGTGTTCAAAAAATGTACAACACATTTAAAAATGACATTCCAAATAACTGTTGGAAATGTATTGTTTATTTTGCTTGTTAAATTTGAGGTAAGTGTGTGATGCATATTGTTTTTTAAATGAAAAAGAATAAAGGAGCATGTGATACATCGCCACGAGCTAAACTCTACTAGAGTTACCTCACCGACCAATCTTATGTGCCACCCTCAAATATTTGGCTACTGCCTGTGTGTGCTCCTGACCTCATCTCACTAAATAAAGGAAATTACCTGGCTGCTTCCTGGATTCCCTGCATTTGGGTCCTACTTCAACAAACGTTCATGACATTCTGACAGTAATGAATTACAGTAATCCAGTCTTGAGGTAATAAATGCATGGACTAGTTTTTCAGCATCGCTCCTGGAAATGAAGTTTCTAATCTTAGCAATATTGCGAAGGTGGAAGAAAGAAGTCCTACAAACCTGTTTAACATTGGATTTGAATGTCCTGGTCAAAGATAACACCAAGGTTCTTCACTTTGCTCCCCAAGGCTAATTTCATTCTGTTCAGATCAGGTGATTGATTAAGCAGTTTCTCTTTCAGAGGTTCTGGTCCAAAGATGAAAACTTCAGTCTTGTCTGAATTTACCAGCAGAAAGTTTAGAGTCATCCAGATTTTTATGTTTTAGAGACAAGACTGGAATCTGTCTGATTAGGTTCATCAAGGTTAATGGATACATATAACTGTATCATGAGCATAACAGTGGAAGTGTATCCCATGCTGTCTGAACTTATGTGCAACAGTGCAATGCAAATATATTATTTCAAAATCATACAATGTGATTTGCTGGAATATTTTTTAAATTCTGTCTCTCACAATGGGAATCCACCTGCAGGATGTTCAAATACTTATGTTCCTCAATGTAAATAACAGATTTTTAAAGTTATTTTGCAAAAATGTTTATTTATGCTCTGTTTTACATTTTCACTCAAATCATTCCATTAACTCATTCACTGCCAATGACGGCTAAAGTCATCCTTAGCATTTTTTTTACTGTTAGGGCATCGGAACGAGCCCCCGCACTGAGAGAACAAACATCTCAGCTCTGAAGCCGATCTTCATCCGCATACGTCACACGTCACATGATCATGAAGCAGAACATCCATGTGTTAGGAGATCGTTTTGGGCCGTTCCTGTAAAAAAATGAGGCGCGAACCGGAAAAGCTTCTGCTGATCACAACGGATCATGAAAGAACGCATAACGTTCAAAACGCATGGATTCTTCCTGATGTAAGAGGTGATTCTCCTCTTTGTTTTGGTTGTTTTGGAGTCAACATCATCTTAGCATGCAATGTTCTGTGACTCTTATAAAAACAGTAAAAACGGTGAGAAACGCTGGCAGCAAAGGAATTTACCAATCAGGAAACGGCAAGCGAGTTAATCTAGTCTGGTGCTTTCTCATCACTGGATATGTATTTCGAAAATAAAAACATTTTCCTGCACTGAAACTTAGCATTTTGTACACTCTGTGTGTGTGTGTCCACATTTACTTGATAAATTCCATAAAAACACTTAACAATCTGTATTTTATCCCAAACAAAATATATAAAGTATTAAACTGAATTTTGACTTTGCAAATCCATTTTGTTTACAATTCTTTACTTAGCAAATCAACATGTATTTCATTTTACTAACTACCTATTAATGAAAATATATAAATTAGAAGTTCATCTGTTATATTTTCCAGTCATGCCTTTTTTAATGTTCCTCTCAGGATGTAATAAAATAATGTAACATTTGGGCACAAAAATGCACAACAAGAGACCAAAACTGGAGGCTAATATTGCAAATATTTCCACAGCTACTGAGAACTTCCCAGGAGAGCTAACATACGCTGGAATGAAAGAGATCCACACAGCAATAAAAATCAGCATGCTGAAGGTGATGAATTTAGCTTCGTTGAAAGTATCTGGTAGCTTCCGACCGAGGAACGCCAGCAGGAGGCAGATGAAGGCTAGCAGGCCGATGTAGCCGAGGACGAGGTAAAAACCAGGAGGCCATGGCTCCTTACACTCCACGACAATCTAAAAGGGCCAAAAGCTCAATAATATTAAAAACTGTAATATGTTTCTTTGACACAAATGTCACAACAAACATTAAGCTTTCTGTATATTTCTTGTCTTTTGTTATTTTGATATTTTTGTATCTTTTTTACGTTTTTGAGTATATAAAGCCTGGTATTCTTACTTTTCCATTTGAGGCCTGGTATGCAGGGTTCCTGAATGGAAAGGGAGGACCCCCTAACAGCCAGCCTGTACAGAGACAAATCTACAGGCAAAAATACAAAGTTCTTTAAAAGGCTTTGTATTTTTTGTCACACCCTATATGAGCATGATGCACAAGAAGAACGACTGATGCATTTTTCATTTTACCTGAGGGGCAGTTGTACAAAAGATAAATGTTTTTTGCTGAGTTGGACCAAACATCCCTTTACTATTGAGGCCAGGAAAATTAGCCCGGAAAGCCAAAAGAACCACAATCGTCTTAATTAGAAGACACGACAGACAGATGACAAAACTGATCCCAAACGCTGCCTGGCGAAACATGCATGTCCACACAGACGGCTGGCCAATGAACACCAGGGAACACAGGAAACAGAGCTTGAGGGACAGGAGCAGCAAGAAGCTGATTTCTGAGTTGTTGGCCTTGACGATGGGTGTGGTCCGAAAATGGTAAAAGATGGCAGTGATGATGACTGTCATGATAACACCCAGCAGAGTGAGGGTAACTAAGATGATACCCATGGTCTCAGTGAAATTCAAGAATTCTTCAACCCCTGCAACACATTTGACTTTATCTGGGTCTGACCAGAAGAACTCTGGACATTTGATGCACTCAGTCGAACCTTTGGAGACAATAAAACAAGCATGTGGTGAACAAACACTTGTCCCTCCTTTCCACTGGATGTGAAAGCAGCGTAACAGTGGCGTTTTATCGCCGAGCTCTTTTCTAATGGAGAGTGTTTCAGAGGCGAGACATGGAGAAAAGCGTTCTACGCCTCTGGTCCAGCTAAGTCACAAAACCATGGGAGAATTGCAACACCACACATGATTTCGGAAGTCCATATAGACAAGCAAGAAGGGTTGCATGTGTCCTAGAGAAGTTTCTGGAGGTTTTACACTGTTTTCATGATTGACTTCCTTTTTGGACCGAGCTAAACTTTGGAGTTTGATGTGTAATGGAAGTGTGGCGTGTGAACTAGACTTGAAACGTAAGCCTCACACCCCTTTGCTTCTGGGAGTGTCTAAAAAGTAACGCCTCGTGGCTGGTGGAATGAAACGTGTCCTGTATAGCAGCGGCTAATTGGTTAAAGTACGTTCTGCGGCTGTTTTGCGAACAGTGGAAAGTGGGGGTCAGAGAATGTGTGTTTGACTTCCATTATACTTCTTATGGAAGGTCATAAAGTATAAATGTGAGAATAAACAGGCATCCACTACCAGTCTGGTTGCTGATCTCTCCATCTGCACAAGGTAAACAGTCAAAGCAGCAGTGAGGCTCTCCAGGACGTGTGGCCTGTCTGCTGCCAGGAGGACACGGAGCACTACACTGGGATGTAGGGACCTGAACAATTACCAAAACGTGTAAACATTACATGAAAATATACCTTTAATTTTAGTTTAAAAACAAAAACTTATCAAGCATACTGTCGAAGTTCCACTCCACCCCTACCTGCAACTCCCCTCCTGTCCATATGATCCTGCTCTGCAAAACTCTTAGCTGTTGTCCCATTGCAGCTGATCCATCATAGTTTCCTACTTTGACAAACCTATAAATGATTAAAAATACATTTATTTTCAGACTGTGCAGTTTCTGTTCATGCTGTGAAATTAGTGAACAGGAAATGGCGAGGGTGTAACAACAACAGTCGTTCACCATACATGAAACTATCAGCAGGGTGACCAACTACAGTAAGAGCCACTGACTATGAGCTTTTTAAAATCAAGTCAAATGCATCAAAATAACCACGACATCATACCTGATTTCACCACTGCTGTCCTTCTGCCAGTTAACAATCTCATAGAGAGGTGCTGGCTCCCCATTGGAGTTGAAATAAATTCTCTCCTCAAACTGGTTGGTAAAAATGACTTTCTTTAGATGAGACAGCAGCTGTTCCACAAAAGAACAAAAACATCTCAACATGGATTTAATTGCTTTTTAAAATGTTGTCCTTTCTTGGTTTCCATACATACTTGCTCAGAAGTAAAATGTTTCATTTTGTTGCATGAACTGTTTTTGACTCCTTCAGAATCACAATTCAGTAAAGCATGCAGAGCGTGGGCAATGGCAAATACAGCTTTATAGACATTGTAGGATATTCTGACTTTAGAAACATCTGTATAACTGCTGGAAGCGAGACTCAGATCTTCTGACCCTGTACACACAGGTGTGACATTATCCAGAGAATCAGTGCCATTTTCACCGAGTCTTTCTCCTTCAAACCTGAGCTTACAGCCAAACTGCTCTTCCCAGAACATGTTGACAAATTCCATCCCAGGTTTGGGGGATGGTTTCACGCTCAGTAAGAACTCTTTTAATCCAGGTATTCTGACTCCAGGGAAGGTGAATCCCAGCGTTCCCTCTAACAGATGGTGGAAGTGTGGTGATGTCAGAAGGGTTGCAGCTACCCAGGATTCACTCGCTATCCACTGGATTCCTGTTACATTTTGCTGAGCAAGCTGGAAAGGCACAGTTAACTACATTTAATGACAGGAAATCACTCCATCAAGCCTTTAAATAAACATTTTAAAAGCATCCTCCCACATGATAAAACTCAGTGTTGCATTTTTCATTTTGTTAATCTTTACCTACTTCTAAAAACAAATCCAGGAGTTGTCCCTCGTTGGAAAAGGCCACAACAACCTGTGCAGTTGAACGCTGCACTGTGTTAGCCATTGTTTGGATCTCATCTGTTGTGGGTGATGCTGGAATAGTGAGATGATATTCCACACAACCACCCTGTAATCTAAACTGATCAGAGAATGCTTGGATCCCATAGCGACTGTAGTCATCCTGGAGTAAAGAGTACATTTGTAGTTTACAATTGTGCGTTTAAGTATTAAATCCACTAAAAAGAGAGCGTAATCTCACTGTGGTTCCTATTGTGCCCACCCAGAACCAGCTAAAAAATGTAACCAGCTGTATGAGACCTTTAACTTGAAAAAAGTCACTCGGCACAGTTCTCAGGAATGATGGGTATATTTGCTTGTCACTAAGACACGTGCAAGTTGCAAAGTAACTCACCTAGGATGAGAGAGAAAGACATATTAATTTAACCCTAAAATGAATCTGAAGAAAAAAATCTTACGAAGGTAAACATGAAAGTTGGTACATTGTCGTTGTTTTTCTGTCTCTCTTACCAGCGGGATGTTAAATGAGCCAAGAGTTTGAGCTACAGCTCGTGATGGAGAAGAAGATGCCAGACCAACAATAGCAGGAATGGGAGAATCGGACAAACACGTAGAATTTTCTAAATGTGTCTCGACATTTGAGAAACTGACTAAAGAGAAAAAAGCCTGCAAGCTAGTGTGGATGCTGTCACAGCTGTCCATGATCCGGTAGCCTAATTTTACCCCCGGTAACAGATCAGACTTGCTGTTAATTTCCTCCACAGCAAACGCCATAGTCATCATCCATCGAAATGCCCTGTGATCAAACCTGCAGACGTTAAAAATAAAAATAGGTTTAAAGCACAGACATGTTATATGTACATAAATCAGCTTTTGTTTTCAGTAAGTTTAGAAAAACAGGTAAACTGTTAATTAGACACCATTCTCACCCGCTGCAGGCAATCATTTGGGGCTTTTTGTGATAGCTGTGTCGTAGCTCTGGAGCCATAAAGTGAAGGCGGAAAAGTCCTCCTATAACAACATCTCCTTCCATCTGCAAAGCCGGAGACTCATCATTTCCCAGTTTTACACACAGAGGTAAATTAGAATCACCATTAACAGCCTCTTCTCTCCCTAAATCCTTCAGCCTGTCTTTGAAAGCCTCTTGTTCTTTGTCATTCCCTTCCTCTCCACTCCACACGTTTCTGTTTTCTGTGAATTTTCCAATCCCAGACAAGACAACAAAGAGAAGCCAAAAAACAACATAAACCTGGAACAACAGACCAAACCCAAATGTGCATGCTGACCCCATAAAGACTTTGGACCTGATGGTTCTTTGTCTCTGACAATCTAAAGAGCTTGACTATTTTTAAACCATGAATGGATTCATCTTTTCATTAGTCAGGTGATTCACAACAGTATCAACCAATCAAAGTTAAGCAATGTTACAATGTAACAAGTTAGAGCAAATGGCATGTGACATTTGTCATTGTAAGAATATTAATACTATAAATTATTATTTACAATTGAGTGATCATTTCATGCATGATTGTGTAAATGTTACTAAAAATTTCAAATACATGTCCTTGGCCAGTGAATGTCACTTAACAGGCTTCTGCAGAGCTTGATGACCTGGTGAACAGGTGATTCAGCCATTGAACCAGGTGTGCTGGAGCAGGGAACGAATCAAACACACTGGATAGGAGATTTACGGAACCGGCTCACTGTTTTAAATTATCGTTGAAGAACTACAATATTGAATTCATTAAGTAAAAAGTATGTCACCCTCAATTCAAACTTTTAGCTGATAAACTGGGTAAATTAATGACTAATAGGGCTTTAGGCATGTCGTCATTATTTTGGCAGTGTAGTTCATCCTATTTAAAATACAAATATTCAGCCTGAATAGTCAGTGTTGTGCCCTCTTCAGGTTAAAACTGCACTACATTGAATTTGAATCCACCATCACCAGCCTCGGGGTTCTGGTCGTGGTGGAGGCCTAGCTGTTGTTTTCAGAGACCATCTTCCATGTAGCTCTACAACCTCTGGTCACTTTGCTTCCTTTGAACTGCAGCTGATTAAAGTCAGGCGTAAGGACCCGTTCTACTGTGCTGTGGTTTATCGTCCACCTGGTCTAAACAGTTCTTTCCTGCAGGAGTTTAGTGACTTTCTATCCTCCACTGTGAAGCTGTCCAGACTGGTGATTGTTGGTGACTTTAACATCCACGTTGATGATCCCTCTGACCAATTTCTCCAGCCTTACGGACTCCTTCAGCTTTACCCAGCATGTTTTTGGCCCCACACACACCAGGAGGCACACTCTGGACTTTGTTTTTACCCTGAGTCTAAATGCTGACAGTGTTTGTCCTGAGGATGTTTACATTTCGTATCACCATTACATTTTCTTTAACTTGTCAGTTTCTGCGTCCCCACCTCCTGCTCGCCGTATGGTTGTTTCTCATTTTCTTAATGAGAGCACAGCTAGCAATTTTTCTGCTGCTTTTGATCCACCCTGTTCTTCTGATAACGACCCACATTCCTTAACTTCTCAGTTCAACGAGCACCGCCTCTCCATTCTGGATAACATCTGTCCTGTCAGAACCAGATCAGTTCCTGCAGAGAACCCTACTCCCTGGTTTGATGACAGCCTTCGCAGCCTGAAGCGCCAATGCAGAAAAATTGAGCGTTTGTGGAAGAAACCCCATCTCCACGTCAATCTGCTGCACCTAAAGGATCTTCTGACATCCTTTAACTCTGCAGTCAGAGATGCTAGGGTTTCAGATTTTTCCAACCTGGTGTCCCAGAGCAAAGGGAACCCCAAGGTGCTGTTTAACACCATCAGCAGCATCGTCATTCCTGCTACTCCTACGGCCTCCATCCACTCTGTTACAGACTGTGAGAACTTTCTGTCTTTCTTTGTGGACAAAGTCAGTAAGGTTTGATCTAGCATCTCTCTCTCAGCCTTATCGCTGCCTCTCCCAACTCCAACCAGGCCCATCATCCTAGATAGCTTTGCTCCTGTTTCTCTGCCTGAGTTAACCAAACTAGTTAACTCTATGAAGACCTCTGCATGCCCCTCGACATCTTATCTTCATCTTTGTTTAAAGGTGCTTTTCAGTCCATCGGTCCCAGCGTGCTCTCCATAATTAATGCTTCTCTGGTTTCTGGTCAGGTCCCTGCTTACTTTAAGAATGTTGTAATTCACCCGCTTCTTAAAAAAAACAAGTCTTGACGCCTCTCTCCATAACAGCTTCAGACCCATCTCTAAACTTCAGTTCATCTCCAGGATTGGGCTGCATGGTGGCGCAGTGGTTAGCACTGTTGCCTCGCAGCACGAAGGACGCAGGTTCAAAACTCGGCTGCAGCCTTTCTGCGTGGAGTTGCGTGTTCTCCCCATGCATGCGTGGGTTTCCTCCGGAGACTCTGGTTTCCCCAACAGATCACAACATGCCCTATGGGTTATAAATTGTAAGTCGCTTTGGATAAAAGTATCTGCTAAACAAATAAACATACACATCTTGGAAAAGGTTGTGCCTAAACAACTCAACAGCTGCTCTTGATGAACATAACATCTATGATTGCTTCCAGTCAGGTTTTTGTAGAGCTCATTCTACTGAAACCGCTCTTCTAAGGGTCTCTAATGACCTTCTTACTCACAATGATTCAGGGGACTGTTCTGTTCTGGTCCTGCTGGACCTGACTGCAGCCTTTGACACTGTTGACCATCACCTGCTACTGGAGAGGCTGAGAGACTGGGTAGGCCTATCAGAAACTGCTCTGCAGTGGTTCTCATCTTATCTTTCTGAACGCTCCTTTTCTGTGGCCGTCTCCAAGTTTAGGTCCTCCACCACCTCTCTTACCCATGGTGTCCCACAAGGTTCTGTGCTGGGGCCTCTGCTCTTCCTCCTCTATCTGCTTTCTCTTCAGCACATCCTGAGCTCCTTCAAAGGAGGCTCCTACCATCTTTATGCAGATGACATCCAACTGTACATCTCCTTCAAGCCCCATGAGATGTCTAAACTGCAGCTGTTACACACCTGCTTAGACTTTATCAAAACCTGGATGGCTGGGAGCTTTCTACAGCCGAATGAAGATAAGACTGAGATCCTCATCTGTGCCCCAGATAAGCTGGTTCCCAAAGTCAGAGACTCTGTTGGTCAGCTTGCTTCTCACACCAAAACCTCTGTCAGGTATCTTGGCGTGACTTTTGACCCAGCTCTCACCCTGGATTCTCATGTCAGTTCTCTTGTTTGGTCTTCCTTCTTCCATCTCAGGAACATTGCTAAGCTGAGTCCCATTCTGTCCCACCCTGAACTTGAGACAATTATCCACACCTTCATCTCCTCACACTTAGACTAATGTAACTCTCTTTTCACATGTCTGAGCAAAACGTCCCTGAAAGTCCTCCAAACACACCCACATCACCCCGCTTCTCCTCCAGCTTCATTGGCTGCCAGTCAAATTCAGGGTTAATTTCAAGATCCTGGTTCTGGTCTACAGGGCCTTACATGGAGAAGCACCATCTTACACTGGTAATCTTCTTAGTCCCTACACCCCCAGCAGGTTCCTGAGGTCCAGTGATCAAAGCCTACTGGTTTTGCAGCTCACCAGGCTAAAGACCAAAGGTGACAGATCATTTGCTGCTGTGGCTCCCAGCCTCTGGAACTCTCTCCCCCTGAGCCTGAGATCAGTGGACTCAGTGGACTCCTTTAAAAAGCTGCTGAAAACTCACCTGCTCAAGCTGGCTCTCTTTATTCTGCCCTCCCTACCTATTCCACCTTCCTCATGATCCACTGATTTCCCTCTTTCCTATCTCTCTTTCTTTACATTTTTTTAATCACAGTTGTCTATTTTTGCTCATTTTAAATATATTTTAACCATTTTATAAATTATTTTTTATATTTTTACATTTTTTGTTTTTGTAAAGTACCTTATGATTTTTATTTTGAGAGGCGCTATAGAAATAATATTTAGGCCCGAGCAGCGAAGCTGCGAAGGCCTATTGTAACTGCTCCGTTTATTATTAACTTCTAAAGACAAAGTCAGAATGGCATTATACTTGGCTTGTGACATCACATGACTGCACCAAACACATTGATGTGGTTGTTGGTTCAAATCCCTGTAGCTCTGCCCCCCTTCAGCTCACTGGCTCTAGATAACACACACAATGTCCGTTTGATGCTAAAATAACAGAAAACTGTCTTTGTCAACCAAAGCTGACCTCAATGGGATTTTCTGTAGTTGATCACAGCGCCCCCTGGATAACTTTAACTTTCTATAACTTTAAAAAACATGGTCAGAAAAGCATCAAAGTTGGTCTGTGCCATCACACCACCAGTGTGGTAAAGATAGAGTATTCCCTAGTGGTGAGACGTGTAATGTAATGGTGGCCTCAGAGGGGATGCTGAGTCAGGTTGAGGTGTGGACGAGGTGACCGTTAGCGGTTTCTGGTGTCGGGGTGGTGGAAGTTTCTGTTCCGCGGACGTGCCCTGGTGCCCCGGGCTGCCGGCCAGGACGGAGTGGCGCGGAGCTGGGTTTGGAGAGCGTTGGGGATGGAGCGGAGGGGTTGCAGAAGAAGGGCGAGCAGCGCGGAGCTGGGTTTGGAGAGCGGAGGGGGTGCGGACGGAGGGCGAGCAGCTTTGCTGCGAGGGCCGAACGACGCTGCTTGCAGCTTTAATTTCTTCTTCTCATTGGCTAAGCGGTACCTTGTGACAGCTGGTATCATATGACGTCAGCTACACTGCTGCTGTGGGGTATAAAATCAGCTAAGTCTCAGACTTGGCAACTTCTCCGTTGTGACTTAATAGTTGGTGTAGAAGGAATTATGATAAATTTATAATTTCATTAGTTAGTTTTCAGGTTTAAATTAGTTTCTGTTTAAAGATCGTGATTTTATGTTTTTACGTTTTGTTTTGTTTTTGATCTAAGTGTAGAACTTTGTGATTCTCTTTCTGTGATAAGTTCTTTATAAATAAAATGTACTTGCTTACAAACAACTTAACTCAAACATTCCTTTGTCCTCTGGTGAAGACAGTGCTGAGTGGGGTGTGTATGTGTTCTTCAGCGGCTCAGAGCTAGTGAGCAGGTGTGTGCATGTGTTTTTTAGTGACTCCATCCAAATGCGTGCTCGTGTTGTGTAACACATTTTCACACCTGAAGCAGCTAAAACAGACAACGGGGCTCCCAGCGCATCAGGAGAGGACGCGCTGTGCCAAGAGTGTCGCTTTGTGAGGCCTGCGGTAAAATGGTGATTTTGCTGATTTGTGACCTTTACTCTATTGCGATTTAACCTTCCCCTCATCCCCATCCTAACCCTAACCCACTTGCACATGCAAAACATTGTTTCTCGTTGTGTCGTCCGTCTCAAACACGGTTAACGAGACATTTAGAATTAGAAACTGGGTAAAGGTTAGGATGGGAGCGAGGGGAAGGTCAAATAGCAGGAGGTTAGAGGTAAAATGTTGGTTAAAGGCGCGTTTTCCGCAGGCTCCGGAAACCGATGCTCTGACATCCACGCAGCGCCTCCCGTCGTGTCGGGAGCCCCAACGCATCGGAAGCAAATGTTAGGTCACCCATCGACAGTTTTAGCCGCTTCGAGTGAAGGAATTTGTTGGTGTGCGTGTTAGCAGCTCTGTTCAAACTAGTTTTATATGCGTGCGTGTTTGTTGGTCTGCCAGGAGATGCCTCCTTTTGGCACATTTAAAAAATGTGGGTGGAGTAAGACTTCTTTTCCGCTCAAAGAATGATTCAAATCTTGCTAAACTCATACATTTTTTCTTTTCCATGTGTGGTTTGATGACATTTGGAGAAACGAGCATTGGTAGTCCTTGTGAAAGTAAGATAAAGTCTATGGCACATATCTGACGGGATCAGAAAATGACTTTTATCCCTTCATAAGTTCATATTGATTTATTTAGTATCATTATTTTTTTCTTTGGCATTTGAGGACCCATGGGTGTGGCATAGGCTCTCTAGTCTGATCAACTTTCTAGTAAAAGAAACTGATTTAATTAAAAATGCTGATACAGAAATACACACATTTTTATTAGATTTAATTTAAAAGGAGCATGCAGAAAATACAGTGAAGATATTTAGATTTCAGAGATTTACATTAAACAATTAACTTGGCTTAGAATTTACTTGAAGTACACTTGAAAAATACACACATTTCAAACTCATCTGTTATATTTTCCAGTCATGCCTTTTTTAATGTTCCTCTCAGGATGAAATAAAATAATGTAACATTTAGGCACAAAAATACACAACAAGAGACCAAAACTGGAGGCTAATATTGCAAATATTTCCACAGCTACTGAGAACTTCCCAGGAGAGCTAACATAAGCTGGAATGAAAGAGATCCACACAGCAATAAAAATCAGCATGCTGAAGGTGATGAATTTAGCTTCGTTGAAAGTATCTGGTAGCTTCCGACCGAGGAACGCCAGCAGGAGGCAGACGAAGGCTAGCAGGCCGATGTAGCCGAGGACGAGGTAGAAACCAGGAGGCCATGGCTCCTTACACTCCACGACAATCTAAAAGGGCCAAACAGCACAGTGTTGATGATCATTTAGAACGCATGTTAATGAAGAAGTTAATAACATCTTACTGTTTCTCTTCCTTTGGCATTACATAACACCACTGAGACCTTTTGGACTCACCTTTCCAATTAGGGATTGGTATGTTGGATTCCTGAATGGGATGGGAGGAGCCCCCAGCAGCCAACCAGTGCAGAGACAAATCTAATGACAAAAACAAATCATTTCAATGTGCCAAAATTCTCAGAATGTGTCAAAATAAAATCTAAATGCCTGTTGCATGAAGTTTTCCACCTGAGGAGCTGTTGTACAGAAGATCAAGGTTCTCTGCTGAGATGGACCAAACATCCTCAGACTCTTGGGGCCAGGTACATTAGCCCGGAAAGCCAAAAGAACCACAATCGTCTTGATTAGAAGACACGACAGACAGATGACAAAGCTGACCCCAAACGCTGCCTGGCGAAGCATACATGTCCACACAGACGGTTGGCCAATGAACACCAGGGAACACAGGAAACAGAGCTTGAGGGACAGGAGCAGCAAGAAGCTGATTTCTGAGTTGTTGGCCTTGACGATGGGTGTGGTCCGAAAATGGTGAAAGATGGCAGTGATGATGATTGTCAGGATAACACCCAGCAGCGTGAGGGTAACTAAGATGATACCCATGGTCTCATTGAAAGACAAAAATTCGTCAACCCCTGCAACACATTTGACTTTATCTGGGAATGACCAGAATAACTCTGGACATTTGATGCACTCAGTCGAACCTTTGGAGACAACATAAGAAGCATTATGATAAGAACATTAACATTCCATTCTTCATATTCACATTTACCACTTCTTACTTTACATAAAATAAATAACATATAAATATGATTTAATATATGGATATGTCGGCAGAAACAGGATACCAGTCTGGTTGCTGATCTCTCCATCTGCACAAGGTAAACAATCAAAGCAGCAGAGAGGCTCTCCTGGACGTGTGGCCTGTCTGCTGCCAGGAGGACACGGAGCACTACACTGGGATGTAGGGACCTGGACAATTACGAAGAGAATTTGGAAACTAAACAATGCCACCTATAGGTATTTGAACAAAATACTCAATTTAAAAGCACCATCCCTACCTGTGCTTCTCCTCTAGTCCATGTAACGTTGCTTCGCTTAATCTGGAGCTCCTGTAACGGTGGCGCTGAGCCATCATAACTTCCTACTTTTATAAATCTGTAAGCATTTGAATTGAGATGCAACAAAATGTATGGATCTACAGTATCAACCTGTAACCATCCAGTAGAATCAAGAGAGCAAGTAAAACAATCCTGGATGACCTGCACAACTTTCTATTGGACAAAACATAACGTTAGAAAGACAGTTTCAGTTGTCCAACATGCAAAAATGTAGGCAACATGGGCAATAACCCATAACCATACCCACTTTAACAAACTAATAACCATGAGTGATTTGAACCTGATTTCACCCTTGCTGTCTTTCTGCCAGTTAATGATCTCATAGAGAGGTGCTGGCTCTCCATTTGAATTGAAATATATTCTGTCAGCAAACTGGTTGGTGAAGTTGACTTTCTTCAGATGATACAGCAGCTGTTTGAGAATAATTGGCAAAAACAAATACAAACATCTTAATCTATGAAGCATAATAAGCATGAAATTGTCCTTTTTAAAAGTAAAAATCTACCTGCTTAGAGGTGAAGGTTTTCTGTTTGTCACATGTTCCACCATCAGGGCCTTCGGTTTTACAGTCCAATACAGTGTGCAGAGCATGGGCAACAGCAGAAACAGCCTTGTACACATTATAGGAGATTCTGACCTTGGATACATCAGTGTAGCTGCTGGATGTTAGGCTCAGGTTTTCAGAACCTGTACATACAGGCCTGATGTCATCGAGAGTAGAAGTCCCATTTCCTTTGTTGTTTTCCTCAAATTTGAGCTTACAGCCAAACTGCTCTTCCCAGAATGTGTTGATTAATTCCATCCCTGGTTTAGGGGATGGTCGAACTTTCAATAGAAACTCCTTTAACCCAGGTATCCACACTCCAGGGAAGGAGAAGCCAATGGTGCCTTCTAATAGCTGGTGGAAGTGTGGTGAGGTCAGAACAGAAGCCGTTACCCAGGCTTCACTCGCCACCCACTGGAGTCCTGTGACGTTTCTATCAACGAGCTGGAAAAGCATGGTGAAATGTATTGGTTAGTAAATGAACAGTAGTTTCCGTAACCCCTGTGTTGCATTCTGGCCATATCTGAATGTTTTGCATGTTTTCTTTTTAAAATATGTTATTTTATCTGATCGTTTTTCACAAGAAAGCTTTTTTTAAGTGTTTTGTGCTTTTCTTGGTAAAACAAATGGACCAATTACGTTTGAAGCAGAAGTCGATATTTTCCACACACTACGATGCACAAGACACACATGTGCATGCAGACACACACTTTCATGCACACACACACACTTAGAGCTGCAAGTAACACCAGACAAGCATAATACACTGTGAATGCTTTACATTCATTTGCAAATCACATGTAATTACCATCTAATTCTGTTCAATATCTGACACATAAATAACAACGTTTCATTGTACTATTTTTTTTAGCAATATTCTCATTTTCATGTTATTTGTTCCATTTTGTTTAGTGTTCAGATTAATAGAAAAGGTGACATTGGCCTGAAAATCTAACAAAACACATGACCGTATTTTACAGTGATATTTTCTAACAGATAATCAAAATGTGCATGGTTGATGAAAACACTATAATGACATTAGTATCATTAGATTAACACAGTAAAGCTTGTTTTGGGCACATCAGTTCTGCTTGCTTTACAGCTGAACAGGCACAGGGAAATAATAAAATAAGTAATTGTGCAGCAATTAATTGTAATCTATAAATAAAAATGTTCATAATTTATACAGAAATACCTATTGAGAATATTATTCTTGACTGGGAACACAAAGTTAAGAAGACACGAGCTAAAGAGGGCTAAGGGGTTTACATGGATGCAGTATTTTTTGAATCAGCTTTGGTGCATACTTCTAAAAACAGATCCAGCAGTTGTCCCTCCGAAGCAAAAGCCACAACGACCTGTGCAGTTGAACTCTGCAGTCTGGTTGCAATTTCTCGTATCTCAGCCACTGTTGGAGATTTTGGAATTGTGAGATGAAATGCAACACATCCACCTCGTGATCTGAACTGATTGGAGAACTCTTGGATCCCATAGTGACTGTAGTCATCCTGGAACAAGGGAAGAGTTAGCCATTCACACAGGTGTCATGCTGAAAAATTGTGGAGATATAAAAAAAACAGGATAATCTCACCGTAGTTCCTATTGTGCCCACCCAAATCCAGTCAAAGGAAGTAACCAGCTGTACAAGAGCTTTAACTTGAAAAAAATCACTCGGCACGGTTCTCAGGAATGATGGGTAAATTTGCTTGTCACTAAGACAAGTACAAGTAGCAAAATAACTCACCTAGGATGAGACAGAATAAAACAATTTCACAGTGTCTTGTCACTATTCCCAAAGTGAAGATGGAATGAAGCAGCTTGTGTATGGTTGTCCTTTTCCCTCTCTGTCTTACCAGTGGGATGTTAAATGAGCCAAGAGTTTGAGCTACAGCTTTTGTGGGCGAAGAAGATGCGAGGCCAACGATAGCAGGGATAGGAGAATCAGACAGACATGTGGGAGATTCAAACTGTGTTGGCACCTCAGAGAAACTGACAAGTGAAAAAAGTCCATTCAAGCTAGGGTATATGTTATCACAGCTGTCCA